ACGACACTGACCGACCATACTGACGTTCTACAACTAATGGCTAACAGCTCTAGCACATCTTGGATGTGCACTCCAACAGCCTTCCAACTGTGATAGTTTCAAGTTATAGAAATAAAATAAGGAGAGGAAGGTGAGCGCAACCAAGATAAGCACGAGCTGAAAGTCTCAGCTGTGAAGGACGTTGGCGGATGTTCATGCATGTCGCTGACGATACTGACAAGACCATTAGACAATACGGTCAAACCACGATTCAAGGATGCAAAGCAACATTCCACACAACTTGCGTGGATCAAAAGAGTCAAAGATCAAGAAAGGGGGAAGCTATGCGAACAAGAATCATGCAAAACTGAAAAACCTCTTTATGTTATTTCTATAACTTAGAGCCTTCCAAGTTGTAAGGCTGTTGGAGTGCGCATCCAAGATGTGCTAGACCTGCTAGCCAGTTAGTTGTAGAACGTCAGTACCGTCGGTCAGTGTCGTGCAATGTTATCGCATGAGCTGATTGTTTAGTAACTGGTGATGTTAGTGGACATTATAGTGTAGCTTGTAGTTCCTTGGTCCTTTTTACTTTTTATTGCAGCTTTGCTTATTCCCTGAGTGTAACATTACTGTAAACATGCAATCTACAGTGGGCATCCTTGAAGTGTTCGCTACCATTCATTAACAAAAATTTAATGTAGCATGTGGTGCTAATGTTTATGTTCACAGATGAGACATTCCTATCCACCGTACAAGGTGGCTGCGGTGCTGGATGGGTTGAAAACGATGGTATGTGCTATCAGTTCAAAGTGGAGACGGCCGACAAGTCCACGTACAAGGAAGCCGACAAGCAGTGCACCAACACCAATTCACAGCTGCTGACCGTACACAGCGATAACACACACCAGTTCATCACCCACTACATAACACAGAAGAAGAGCAGCTTCGATGGTGCAGTATGGCTGTCTTTGACCAAGGTAGGTTGGAAAAAGATGAAAAAATACTTCCTGACAAATGTTTTTCTCCCTTTCTGTTTGAAGACACATCTATGCACACAATGCAGGAGGGATAGGTAACTAGAGCAACATATGTGGTACTACGGAGTAATTATAGGAAGTGGATGGGTTGGTTCATTTGGTGTATGTTTCAACATATTATTACTGGATTTCCAGCACACCATGCAACAGAAGAAGGAGAACTAACCAGGTCATAACTTTGGTCTCATTCGCTGTATTTTAACATTCAAGGCCCCGCTGAGAAGCTCTTGGCGAGAGCAACGCCAAGATCCCAAGCTCCCGCAATCAGACCCCGCCAATTAGGCATGGTAAACAGCAAAGTCGTCTCCAATCTTGATATGCAAGTATGTTCGCTCCATAAACGTTATTCCGTTCTCCTCCATCGCAGAAGGGTCAAATCCTTTCTAGGCGAAAAAGGAGATCGAAAGCCTGCATAACGGGTTAACTTATCCCTGAAGGTAGCCAGTGCAGGCTAAATTTTATTTTTCAAGGAAACCCTTCGAAAATGGTACCAATCGATTCAGCATGGCATTTTCATTCCTCCTGCAAAGTTTCAGCTGATTTCGAGTCATGACAAGGACGCTATGGCGATTTGAAGATCGAAAAACTTCACTTTTGTTTGTCAAGAAGAAAGACCATGATCGCACACAAATCATACAACCCGTGTGGCACAATGATTTTTGAACGAAGTTAGTTGATCCGCGGACCCCGTGCTTCGCGCATGCATGCATGCATACTGCATGCACGCACACAGTACAGAGTCTTTTTTGAACGCAGATATGTAGTTTTTCGTCTTCTTCGAAATGTCTTCCAAATGCGTGGTGCTGGTGTTGTTCTCAGCTTCGTCAAGGCAGAATGCAGCTGCATGTGATGCTCCTGTGTGTTCATGCATGTTCTCTTTTCGCGTCTCGACATTGTACTTTGTAGCGTCCAGACTCAGCTTGACTGGAGAAGATTGAGGAGACTATGCTTTGATCCACATGGAAAATCGATGAAATTTGGTAATTATCGTCTGGCGCTAAAAAGCGCTGGGGAGCATGGGGCTAAAACTTCGTAGCAGTCATCCCTACCATGACAGGCATCGACTGGTATGTGTTCCATTCTGTTCCCAACCACTACGGGTAGTCTGCGAAGCTTTCTTCTTCGCCTATTCTCGGACAGATCGTACGTCTTCGCACTGTATCTCTCGTCTCCCTCAACGGATCAAAACACGGTTTTCGCCAGGACGAACACAAACCCCCAGATTTCGCGGCGGCAACATCTTCGAGTAGGGAAAAGCTAGCAGCTAACCAGGAATCACCAAAAAACACGTGTAATACTCAGTGTGATTTGCGACAGCTGTCATTGTGCCGTCGCACCATGCATGTACCATGCACGGGAATGGAACACGGATGAGTCGTTTTATTACGACAGCCTGCACTGGCTACTGAAGGCAGATATTGCGTCATTGGATTATTTTGAGCAGGGGTGCATTAAAACACAGTGATGGATTTCTTGACGGGTGGTTTGCTTGTTCGATCTTCTGCTTTTCCTGATGCAACCATAGCTGCAAGGCAATCGTTACAGTGCTTTCCACTGGAAGGATGGCAAGTGTCTCCACTATCAGCAATGGGGTTGCAACGAGCCCAATGACTCTGGGTCTGGCGAGAACTGTGGTGTTATCCGAATTGGTGGCAGCATCACCAAAAGTGGCACGTGGAATGATGAAAGCTGCAGCTGGTCGTTCAACTACATTTGTGAAAAGCCAATGCCAGTCAATACTAGTGAGTCTACACTACACAGTCTTGACTGCAGAGTGATTCATATACTGCCTGGATTTGCCATGCCCGGCTCCAGGATGTTTTTTGTACGTAACTCAGGCCAAGATTGTTCTCCAGTTTTCTAATATTTTTATATTTTTATATTTTATTGAGCCACCATATCCAAAATTTGCCGCCCACCGGCAACAGCGTTACAACTCATAATGTTCAGAGTTCACAACTTAGCGAGGAGACAGAGAGAGAGAGAGACAGAGATAGAGGATGAGGGCTGAGACATGTTTCGCATTTAAAAAAGACATGGCACAGATACGCATTAGGTCGTTGAAAGTCAGTATCACATCCGTCAGTGTTGTGCTAAGTGTTGCACTCTCTGACTCACCGGTATGTTGCTTATATTATTTTGTTAGTGTAGGGTTCCAACAAGGGATAACTTGTAAACTGATGGTCCTTTTCTTTTTCCAATCCATGACAATGTGTTCTTTTTCTTTTAAATACTATCATCGCATTGGGTTGAATTTCTTCTGCTGTCACAGCCGGACTAAACACATCAGTAGTACTACCTCCAACTCTACCTGGGTCTCCATCTTCTACTTGCTCATGTAAGTCAATATTCAGGTTCTCTTTTCCGAAGAATCTCACCACTGAACGTCGCCCCCCCCCCCCCCCAAACCTCTCTATGTAGGCACCATATCTGATCCGGAATCTGTGAAAATCAGGCTTAGGGTGAAAATTTCACAAAAATGACCTTTTTCTATTTTCAGCTTCTACTACGAGCAGGCAGGCATAGTGGGATGGTCTAAGACCATGGTTGAGAAACAGAGGGTACCAGGTTCAAGTCCTGGTTGGAAGCGGAAGGAATTTTCCAGCCGTGCTGCGACCCACAGTTAATTGAGAACTCGTGGCCTGGCACAAGGGTAACATGGATGCAGCTAATGGGATTTCGGTCTTTGACCACTTGGCGGTGGGTCTGATCTACTCACCTCCCACCGTTTAGGGGCTGCATCTGCGCCTTGATCCTAGGGGGTGGTGGCGTTCCCACGGCGGATGCGGAAAACTCGGCTTTCAGCCGAGTCTCACGCGAACCGTGAATTTATTACTGGGCATCGGATGTCAGGAAACAAAATAATACAGGTGTAGGTCGACTCATAATTGTATTAAAGTATCCCAAGCACAGCAGGGTATTGTATAAAAAAAACCAAAAAACATACAGTCGCCTCCTGATATGACGAACACCATTGTGTAGGAGAATTAGTTTTTTATAGCTGACTTTCGTTATAACAGACATGCACTTACACTATTCAAGCAGCAAGTCATGACTGGCAAGCGGCCTATTGTGAGTGAGCTTGGTTTACATGCGGCCCTACAAGAGGGAGAGAGAGAGAGAGAGATTTGGTTCGCTATAACCGAAAACGGTTCGCTATACAGCGCCGATATTGTATGGGTTCAAACGAGGACATGGACAATGGTTCGCTATGTCACATAGTTTGCTATATGTGTGTTCGTTATAAGTGGAGTCGACTGTAAAAAATATTTTTATCACAGGAAGGAAATGACAGAGAGATCCATCAGACTGAAGGAAAGACATTCCTGATTCTTTTTTCGGTCACATGAAAAGGTACTTCAAAAAGAAGTAGGTATGTGGGGGTAGGCTTGTTGTGGCCCTGTGATGCTGAAGGCTGTAGCAGCCATACATGAGCTTTGTTTGCTCCTCACTCAGCACATTTGAGGGCTGAATACATGTGCTTGCATGCTCTCGCGTGACACACCACAAGGAAACCCGACTGGAGTTGAGATGGCACCTCTTGAAGGGCGAATCTAGTGCAACTGTTTAGAAACAAGCAAGAACAAGGCCTTTCAAGCCTTCCCACTGTTCACAGTAAGCACATAGTGTGCTGGTGTTTTTTAAATTTTTTTTACTTGAAACCACGCACCCAATTCGTAAAAGAAGAAAGAAGCAGGAAATGGCAAAACAACAGACTGACAAGACATTGACTGAATGGGGCTGCAAATGCAACGCAGCGGTGGTGATGGGGTGCTGCAGGCTCCGCCGACCAATGGCCTCGGGATCCGTGCATTCTTCACGCATCAGAAAATCGGGAGAAGAAGAGAAACAAAAAAAGATTGAAAAAAATATATAGCGAAAAGTATAGTGTGGAGAGAGAGAGAGAGAGAGTTTGCTGCAGTGTCTGCTTGTTGCTGACTAGCAAGTGAAATCTCAGCACGCCGTTCAATCTCGTGCAGCTAGCTGCCCAGCCAGGAAAGTTGCAAGTGGGGCCTCTTAATCTGCTCACTCCTTCGCCTGACATTCGGCAGCCCTTCATCACCAAGGCATTCAATTCAAAGCAGTTTTCATCCTGTGGTTGCAGCCTTTTTCCTCGTGAACTTTTAAAAACATATGAGCCATGCTGCGCGTTTGGCTTTGCGTGACGCCCAGAAACAGCTAGGGTCCGCGTACTTCAACCTGCTGAATTGATGCCATCCAGGTTCTCCTCGCTATCGCCATATACACTCCAACTGGAGACGACTTCTTCACTATATTCATTCCTCAGTCATGTGTGAGTGCCGGGATGGAATCGGTACGATCGGCTCAAAAACTCTTCCTCGTGACTAGAGGGATTAGCAGGGAAGATTCACCCGGAAGCCCTTTGACTTCCCTACTGAAACCTTTCCTACCATGGTTGCTACTTCTTCAAACAAAGTGAGATTCTCTTTTGTTCCACCTCGCTGCACTCGAGCGCCCACGCGACACAACCTTTTAACAGAACATCATCAAATTCATCATTTTTCTCCAAAAACGATTCTCATCCTAAGCCTGTTTTTTTTTCTCGCAGAAGTTGGACCATCTCTCCCATTACATGGCATTGTACAAATGACGGAATACTAGTCTTGCAGTCTCTCTATTTACACCAGGGTGCCTGGCTTGATTTCCCTATTTGGCTACAAAGTCTACGATTAAAAGAAAGTGATGCACACAGGAATAGTGTAAGGAAAGCACCAAAGGAAAGAGTTGGTAGAATTGATTCCAATTTTATTCTGCAGGCCATCATATCGAAGGTATAAGGGCTGCTGAATGCTAGGTTTCCCCAATCCACGATTTCTTAAACCTAACCCGATAGTTAATAAATATGGTGGTAAAGACACACCTGGCAATATGGCGGTAAAAACACGCCTGCCCACACACGCTCTCTAGGCTGCAAAGTTCTGGCACAGAGCTCTCCTTCTCACCACCACCACCATCAGTTCGCGCCTGGCGCCTGGTCGGTGCATGGCTGGTGGTATCCGGTATAGCAGGCTGGTACATCAAGTAGCGCATGGCACATAGAAGATGACACAGCAACGACATAGCTCGATTGCGACGTACGTTTCGTCCCCGCTGGACTCATCAGGCAATCTTCTTCTTGGATGTCTTCATATCGGAATCTTCATACTTATTATATATATTTTTTATTTTATTTTTACCGCCATATTGCCAGGTGTGTCTTTACCACCATATTTACCAACCATAAGTACAGCTGCAGTGGTGTCTTCAACTTCATTCTCCCGAGTCAAGCTCCGTATGAAGACATCCAAGAAGAAGATTGCCTGATGAGTCCAGCGGGGACGAAACATACGTCGCAATCGAGCTATGTCGTTGCTGTGTCATCTTCTATGTGCCATGCGCTACTTGATGTACCAGCCTGCTATACCGGATACCACCAACCATGCATCGACCAGGCGCCAGGCGCGAACTGATGGTGGTGGTGGTGAGAAGGAGAGCTCTGTGCCAGAACTTTGCAGCCTAGAGAGCGTGTGTGGGCAGGCGTGTTTTTACCGCCATATTGCCAGGTGTGTCTTTACCACCATATTTATCAACCATAAGTACAGCTGCAGTGGTGTCTTCAACTTCATTAACCCGATAGTGTCTGACAAAGTTGATACCCATCTACAAATCAAAAGACGTGTGTCTGCGATTCTTCGTTGATTTGCCCAGACTCTGTTCAGTGTCCAGCTGGTTGGATGAAGTTCGGCGAGAGCTGTTTCTGGGCGACAACCAACACCAAGGTAACCTTTAGCACTGCCGCAAAGGACTGTCAGCGCCGGGGTGGTTCACTAGTTAGCGCAGCTGATGCTACACAACAAACTCTGTTGCGTACGTTCATGGGAAAGTTGAATGTCACCGGCAGCAAGAAGCTGTGGATCGGCTTGAACGACTACGACTACAGCGGCAGTTACATCTGGCCCGACGGCTCGCCGGCCTTTTACCGTTACTGGAACTGCAGCAGGCGTGGCAGTGGCAAGTGCATCTATGCTGACTCCAGCACTGGCCAATGGGGTCGCACGTTGTGCAGCTCGACTTCCAACGACGGCTATGTTTGCCAGTGGTCTACTGCAAAGAAACAATGTAAGTACATTGTGTGCAAGGAAATAGTGAGTTAGTGTGTGCGTCACAGGCCGGTCAAACGAAGTGAGACTGAGTGAATTGGTGGTTCCGATGTGGTGAAAAGGAAACATCCCCTTAAGTTTGCTGGCATGAGGGCCCAGTATAATGTATCTCTATTAACTTTTCACTGTCCAAATTATCTAATGAATACTATGCTATTTAACACCTACATTTGCGTGTACACAGACTTATAATCACGTGTTCCTAAGTTGCGAAACAGGTAACGTCAATTCCACAATGTTGGCAAGTCACTGCCTTATCACTCGGGTCAAGGCCATTCACCCTCCCCTCCATACCCACACACACACACACCCTAATTGTGGCTAGATTTGCACATGTCAGTGTTTTACACGAAAACTACACTAGTGGTCGTACTGGATCGTGCCATGTGCTACGCCCTGGCTAATTTCCAACCTTTAATGTCCACAAAAGACATCTTGACAAGTCACCAGCCTACCAAATAGATGTGTTAATAGTATGTCTTCTTGCCTAAATCTGATAGTGGTTGATTTCTTATGTAAATGATAATCATATAAGGCCACCTAGAATTAATTCGTTGTTTCGGGTCACTTCACTTATCCGTACCAGGGTCGGTCGGTCGGGTTTATTTTTTATTTTACTTTATTTTTTATTTTGGTTACGTCCATGTACATGTACATCGAATAGCTTTTGTCCATCTAGCCAGTCGATCAAATCTGACTGTAGATTCCGTTGTAGTAGGGACAGTCCAGGGCAGTCATTGTCCCATCAGATCCAGGTCCCCTCCAGGGCCAGATCTTGGCCTCGCTGGCAAACGAGTCTGACCAGCGAGCAGCTCTCACCTTGAAAACTTCTGTAAATAGCGACAAGGTGGCGAAGCTGATGCTGTTTCAGGACCGATTGCGGATCCGAGATAGAAGACAACGTCGTCACCAAGCGCTGCATCCTGCCATTTGGCTAGCCATGGCTGCTTCTGAGGTCGATATCTGGACTGCTATTATTAGGGTCGCGTGTGTACAGTCTAGTCTGTACATTTGCATGCACTTTAAAAAAATATTTTGCGGTCGGGTGAAAAAAGACGGTCGGTCGGGTGACCCGAAACAACGAATTAATTCTGGATGGCTTAAATTTTATATTTCGGCGGCATGAACAGGCTATGCTGAATTTGAGATGAATATGAATAAGAGCACAATGGTATTGTTGGGAAGTTGTCTGGCACTACTGCTTCTTATGCTCCATTTTTCTATTGCAATAGTCACACCACAGACATTCGAACAGGGAATTTGTCCATCTGGCTGGTACCAGCTAAATCACCTCTGCTATAATTTCGAGATGAAGAAGAAGGCCTACCATACTGGTGCACTTGCGGCTTGTAGTGCCATTAACGGTACCCTGGTGACTGTGGATAGCTCTGGTGTACAGAGCTACATAAACCATTACTTCTTGCAGGTGAGATGAAACATGCCAATCCTGAAAGTGTCATCTTCTCCGGGAACCAGTCAGTGTTCATCTATGTGCGTGTTGATGTGGTGGCTGTTGGTGTGGGTGCGGGATTGGGTGTGGGATTGGGTGTGGGATTGGATGTTTGGGAGGGGTGGAGGGGGAGGGGGAGGGGGAGTGGGTATGAAGAGTGCAAGAACATGCTATCAAGGAATGATGCCCATACGCATACAATTTCATGACATTGCTTACGCTGCAAGGCCAAAAAGGTATAAGCGATTGGTTTTCTCTCTCTTTACGAAATTCAATCTCTGTGGTGTAAACTGAGGGGAACAATGTGGGAGTTTCAACACATAACAAAACCAGCTAAAAGTTCCAAAGGAAGTGGGCGAGTGGGTGTGACAACTGATTAATTATTTGTTCCAGCAGCAGTTCACAATTTTAATGTCAGACCTTATTGCTAAAAAGAGTCTTGAACTGTGAGGAAGATGGAAATGCAGCTGTGTTTTGATTCTCTGCCAGCTGTGAAAGCAGCCCGAGACCTCCATTATTGGTCTAAGGATGGTCAGTCGTCCTTTTGTAGATGGGATCTCATGAACAGGTTTCAAGAGGGGCAATGCTGTAAACACTTGTCAATGCAACAAAGAGGGCATATCAAAAATAAGAGACACCTACACAAGTGCATATCTTGTAGCAAAGCTGCCATTCAGAAATGAGAGTAGATTTAGCTATGGTTGGTATGAATCATACTTTTCTACAACTGCATTTGGAATTTCGCAATTTTATATTAAAAGCTTGCACAGTGTGTAAATGAAAGCTCTTGCGTGAACGTTGCCCCACTGAAAAAACTAGTGAACAAAGGATCGTATCGAGTACTCGAGCACTCGTTCGTAAGCTAGGGCGGTCGTTACTGATTGTGTTCGACAAGAGATCGCTAGTGGTACATAATCAAATGTATACCTATCCGAATTCAAATAAACATTAAAAAAAACACTGGTATACCCACCAGTATAACATATATGTACCTGCTTGGTCCGCGTCAGCAATATTGTCGCTTATCTTTTAGCTTTGTTGTTATGTCGCCAATGCTCACTTGGCAGCCCATTTCATCCCAATTTTGGTTAGTGAGTTAATTTACTAGTACCTGAAAGGTCTAGCTAGATTTTGAGTGGATTTCGAGAGCCACTGGCGGGGGATTCTGATTGATATCACACCGCATCAAAATAGATTATCTTGTCACACTGCGCAGGCAAGAGCAGCGCGACGCACAAGAAAGTAACCGGCTACTCAGAATAAGTTCCATTTTACAAAACCGCCAAGATCGCACACCTCGGGGATCGCTCGCCACGCTGATATCGCAGTTCTCTCACCTCCAGCTCAACACTCGGAGTATCCAGCGCATCGTGGAGATTTGAAGCACTGTACGCGTCGTCGTCGTTCAAAATAAAATCTTGCAAAGAACGGCGACTGATTTGAACCACACAGGTAGTCTTGCTGCCCACACGAAGTCCCATAGAGAAGGTGCCCGTCACGATCGACTTCCCTTTAGAAAATAGCCAGGCAGCGGAGAGGAAGAGAGATGAGCTTGCGAAAGCGAGAGTCGATCCCGAGCAAACATATTATTTGTCACCAGCGCCGAGAGCAGCGACGAGGAAGACCAAGAAAAGTATGAACCCGTCCTTGCACAATAAATTCCTCATGGCTGGTTGTCATTCTATACCTTACCTTCCACCTTACCAAGTTTTATCACCTCAAGTGCACGCGTTGTTGTCCTAAGTCTAAGTTCAAATTGTCAAAAGATATGTGACAATATCGATGACGCGGACCAAGTAGAAAAGCGCAAATGCCAAGTCAAGCAGCACGGTACTAGTACCTGTAGTGACTCCCATGCAACATAACAGAGAGCTTTTTTGATCGCTTTCAGGAATACTCGTTCGTTCGCAAAAGAGTAATCGTTTGTTCCCTAAGAAAACCCTGCTAGGCATGCATACAATCTCGTGGCCCTACATGGCGAGCACAGTCCCCAAACTTCGAACCACGCAACACAAGGTCAAATCTTTGTGATACGGAAGAGACCTATTTGGAGTGTGCATTCCACATTTAGACAAGAAAACGGATCATGAATGACTAGTGACATGTTAAAATTGGATTTCAAGGGATAAGGTCAGAAAAATGGCTCTACGTCCGAGGTATGACTGAAGAAAAACACTAAATTTCGTTTCCGCTTTAAATGTATGCATGCATTAGCAGCAAACCAGCCTTGATTGTCCTTGTTGTTCTGTTCTGTTCTGTATGCATGCATTATGTACCTACTACAGAAAGAGCCAACATACAACGGCGAAGCCTGGATTGGCGTTCATCAGTCCACACGTCATGCACCATGGTTGTGGGCGGATGGCTCCAACACAAGCTCCTACACCAACTGGGGATGCACAGAACCCAATGATTTCGGCAGGAGCGGAGAAGACTGCGGAACACTTCGCTATGGCGCGAAATTTGACAGCTCTGGACTTTGGAATGATGATTCATGTACCACCAAGGAAGCAAACTACATCTGCCAGCAGCCAGTGCCACAATGTTAGTACATGTACAGTTAGACGTGTAACTAAAGACCACCCGGACTAGCGAACAACCTGGTACTATAGACCGTTTCGCTAGGCACGGACAGTGTCACATTCATATTTAATTGTGCGGTGCAAACCTCTAACTAAGTACCACCTGCCACTAAAGACCGCTTTCTCTGGCCCCAAGGGGTGGTCGTTAGTCACAGGTTTCACTGTATAAGTAAGAGAAATAATCATGATAATGAAGGGAGCCACGTGATTTCACCGTTCCTCTTATCATCAAATTCAAAAGAACGTGCATGCAAGACCCTTGATCACTTTTGCCTCAACTGTCACACAACAAACGTTGTTCGCGTAAGGAGAAACTTATTGTTCGAAGTGACTTGTGATCACCGCTTATTTTATTTTCAGAGTAAACAATACACTTTTTGCAGGGTTGGGAGTAGCGTTGGAGTAGAACTTGATGACAGAGGGGCTTTCCTGCACAGGTGTGAGTTGCACCATGACAGAGTGGAAAAATTTGATCATTTCAAGAAAACCCGAGAGAGATGATGGGCGACATGTCCTCAGTGGTAGAAGAGGTATTCTGTTAACCGCTGGTGTTTAGCATTCTTGCTAATTGAGGACATAGTTTGCTATGAAGTTGATTGTTCGAACTAGGAACACACGCTTCTTGCCGAACTTGACATTTGACTGACTTACGACTGCCATCCGGAGCAAGTGTCAAGTTCGGCAAGAAGCGTGTGTTCCTAGTTGGAACAATCAACTTCATGACTATTACCGCCGAAGTCGCAACTTCTAAGTTCGTATAGTTTGTTATGTTATAAATAAATAATGTAGGTTATGGGTGAGTGCCTGCACCACCATTGTAGTCTTTCTTTGGTGCCCCGCACATGCCCAATTCTGTCCTACTTCAGAATTATGAATAACATGGAGATTTGATTTGGTCGAAAACAGCCCAACAGGTGACACTCCGTGGGCTGAGGATCTATCATATTCTCCTCTGTTGGTTGTTTGAGTATATTTCGCCGTGTATTTGTGATGCTGCAAATGTTGATATTTGTTTGGTAATAGTTAATTTTGATGACAGTGTCATGACGTTTGGCCTAATGACCCTGAGTCGATTGTCACTTCATGTCGTTTCTTCAACAAATGTCCTCTCTGCAGTGACTCCTTGCTTCTACGGTTGGGAGTACAACGCGGCGTCTGATGCGTGTGTAATGATCAACTCCGTGCAAAATCTCACCTTCTCCCAAGCGGAGACAATGTGCAAGACAGCATGGCCCGGTGCAGATCTAGCCTCTATTGAAGATCCGCAGGAGAATGATTTCGTCATCGGCCTCATCAAGGCGTAAGTATTTTTGACAAGTCTTAGATAATTTAAACTCGAATGCTGAGTCAATAGTAAAATGTAAAGAGAAAAAGACCCAGAAGTTACTACCGTATTTTTCCAGTTGTAAGTCGACCTTTTACGACTTAATATAGAAGGAGAAAGGGTGGGGGTCGACTTACAACCGGGACTCGACTTATAACCGGGAACTGTTAGTATCTTACAAAAAATGACCTGCACTGTATGCACGAGTGCATCATGTGTACACATTGTTTGCCAGTTTATTGGCCTTTTTCAAGTATTGGGACGTTATACCCTCCACCAAGGGATGTTTACATGATTTGCTGATGGATTAGTAGCAGGGAGTGGTTAGTAGTTCTTCTTTGGGTGAAAACTTGAAAACGCAGAATTGAGACCTCCGGATACGGGGTCGACCTGTAACCGGGGTCGACTTACAACCGGTAAAATACGGTTTTCCATCATGAGCTTTCCAATTTGAAAGGTTGTTAGTTTGAGCTTCTTAGATGTGTTGGAACTACATGTACAGTCCATTCAGAAAAAGATGGACTTCTAGCTTTTGGCCATAAATAGGTCAAACTTTGAGTTTTTTTAGAATTTTTTTCTGCAATCCCCTATGGAATCCTCTTCCAATTATGTTTCTGAAGTCTATTTGTCCAAAAAGCAAGCCATAACAACAATAGGATATCGGCCAGGTCTTGCCCCAGAAGCATTGAATTGGAAAAAACCATCAAAATCCAGGCCGTTTGACCTAGTCTGCAACAGTGCATTGTTGTGGGGTTCGAACCCCAGTTCAGGTACCCTTTTTAGACTCTTTTTCAAAGATCAAATTTCGCAGCACTGCACTGTGTACAATGAAATCACGAAAAATCGCCAAATACGGGAGCTCGCCAGAGCCAGAGCCCATCTTTTTCTGAATGTACTGTAGGTGTTTGTGAGCCGAATATCTCAATATTCTTTTCAGTTTTGTGGCTAGTTGTCTCACTATCTGATAGTATTATTATCTCATTGCCTTGGTGGACTGTTGGTTACAACTGATAACTTATAGATCCTTTTCTCTTTTCTTAAGTTACTTCGAAGTACAAACAAAATTGTAATTAATTTTTCTGCCGCATACACACATCTTTCCTGGGTCCCAGCTGGGAACAGCTGGGAGCAGCTGGGAACAATCCTTCTTGATTATGCCAAAAACGGGATTCAGCTCACGAAAGCGAGTTTTCAGGCACCGACTCGGCACGTCACATCAAAGCCAACGTCAATAGCCTGATTATAGTGTACATGTATGCAGGACATCTTCTGGATTTGCCGTTCGTTATGGCTAGGGCTGAGTCCGGTAGCATTTTCTTCGGGTATTGGATCCGGGTGGTTTTCCACGGGTAGCATGAGTACCCGATCGGGTAATGTTTCCATGGTAAGACCACAATTGGCACACACCGGCCCCTCCCCTTACATACTGGGTAGACATGCATGAGTTATTTGTACACGTGCACTGTAGACCTCTCTCTCTAGGGACCGGCGGATTCTGCTCGAAAAGGTGGCAGATTCTGCTCGAACAGCAGTAAAATTGGCCGAACCATACAAACCTTATGGCGGACAATTCCTCAAATTCTGCTCCATTTCTTTATCCACATACCAAACATGCATGAAACTTACCAGAAAAAGTACCGGATTCTGCCAATTTTTCTGCCGGCAGAATCCGCCCGACCCTATCTCTCTCTACTCTTTCTACATGATGTCATCTGCGACTTCGGGTTTTCGGGTACGATTCGGTACCCGTCTACCCGAGGTCCTCACGGGTAGCACGGGTACCCGACTACCCGTGCACACCACTAGTTACGACCCACCAAAATGACAATGATACAGACTTTTGGCGGCGTATAAATATATGACCTCGGTCAACTGTCTTCTTGTAAACACCAACCTACTTTTTTTCCATCGAACAGACGCTCGGGTTGAAAGTCTGTACGCTAGACAAAATTGGTGGGTGTTTACATGAAGACAGCTGACTCAGGTCAAGTGCTGATCTGCTGCCAAAAGTCCACTTTTAAAGTCCCGTATGGTCATGTGAATACTGCTGTGCGAAATTTGACTGTGCAGAGGGGTTCAAACCTGGCGCGCGATATGCACAGAAGTAAGGTCGTACGATTTGTTGATTTTCAACCCTCACCCCAAGGGGAGGATTGAAATCAACATGGGGAGAAATTTCAGTCTGGGTCATGCGCAATGCGTCATGTAAGCACGCCAGTCAATCTCATACATTCAAACAGTAAGCACTTGGGCATTTGTGCGCTGAAGGCCAGTATATAACCAGGCAGCAAACGTACAGCTCTAGCTTTCCTGTGATACTGTTTGTTCTGAAATTCTGTTGTGTTTCTTTGCATTATTCAACCTACATGTTTAGCAAGAAGCTGCCGACCAACTCTAAGCTGTGGATAGGCCTGACAGACACGGACAAGGATAACTACTACACTTGGCAGGACGGACAGCGCAATCAGTTCAGCAACTTTGACTGCAACATATATTGGGGGACCGGCCGCCAACCGTGTGTCTACGCCAACGAGATGGGTGTCTGGACCCCGCAGGATTGCAGCTCGAAAACCACCGGATTCATCTGCAAATACAGTGTTCCCAAGGCGGGTGAGTTTGTCTACCATTTGAGTAGCCCATGGGGAATTGGTCCCTATTTCCAAGAAAATACATGTGCTTGGAGTATACCACAATCGGAAAACATTTTTAAATTGATTATTGATTGATTTTTTTTTTGATTGATTTTTATTTCACGGATCCTCCAGAGGCAAATAGATGCCTATCGAAGGGAGTCTCCTAAGTAAGTATGGAAAATGAGAAAGTATGTTCGTAAGGGAGAAGAGGTAGAAGATACATTAGAATATAGAGTACAGAAGAAGTAAATTCAGTACTTCGGGTAGTACATTGCATGCTAATCATAATGAGAATTAGAAAAGCAGCATTGCGGACTACTATAACTGACATATACACAAACTATTGAAACTATCATAGATGTGGTTAGCCTAGACACAAAAGTCAGGAATACCTTTCAAAGAAAACATAGATTGCGAATGATACCGACGAACAGCAATACTAAATTTCGCTGTTGTAGAGAGTGAACGAATATCTTCAGGAAGTTTATTCCAGGCAACACTCAAAGAAAAAAGGGTTGATTTACGAAAGAAGGTGCCGGCTTTAGGAAGAATTATGGATGAAGGGTGACGACTGCTTTGGGAAGAGGGTAGCTGGAAGTGAGACAACAAGGAGGGGTATTGGGAGAATACATGGTGGAAATAGACAAGGCCAAGAATCTGCCGTCGCCATGCTAAAGATTCCCAAGAGGACAGAACATTGAGGTCTTCTTTGGAAGTCGTCCAGTCAGGCCGACGCTTGAGTTTACTATTTAGGTATGCTCTAGCAGCAGTAGCCTGCAGTTTATCAAGGGTTGTGGACATGGTGGCTGAAACGGAAAACATCCAAACGGGAACAGCATATTCAAGGAGGGGACGAACATAACATTTATACAAAAGATTCACAGCAGGAAAAGGAAGGAAGTTGGACATGTGGTTTAAAAGAAAAACCCGACCTCGAAATTTGCTGGTAATGTGTTGAATATGGGGGGACAGATTGAGTGAAGGAGTGAGGATGATGCCCAGATGGCGGTGGGAAGAGGGCTGGGTCAGTAACGTAGATATTTATCACTCTTCTATATCGACCTCCACTAATTCTTGTGATCCTTGACTGGTCCTATATTACCCATATTGCCGGAATATCGACCGCTTGTCACGGCTGTTCACGTTCAGGCACTTATAAATATGGCGTCATTCGGTGCGATTTATGTAACATTGTGCGAATAGTACAAATACGTGATGAGTTTGCGTTTTTGGAAGAAACTCATGTCGATCCTCGCGTGGTTCCACGATTTGGGACGCGAAACCAAGAGAAAAGTTTTGAAAGCGCTCGAGCGAGATACTCGACTTTTCGGCAATTTGAGAGAGAAAGAGGGTGGAAAGGCGTCCTGGCCTGCCCAGTTAGCGGTCTTTCCGCTTCAAACTTGCTCGAACTACTACTGGCAGACTGGAGATTGATCTCGCCAGTGATTGCCAGCCTCTGCTCGGCGTGCTCGTGTGTACAACATTCAAGTTACACATTTCGTAATCGTTCAAGGCACAATAGGGTAGATATCACAATTTCAAGCTCACTTGGCCGGCAGCTGTCTTCTTATACAATATCCCACATGCCGACTAAGCAATTTACAGCAGGAAACAGCCTTCCACACTCAACAGCAACTAAAGGGCCACACCATTTGTCTTCCAAATCAAGAGAAAACCGGCTCCGGACTCGTCGTGCGTATTTGGAAGTTCACGCGCGTATTCTAATGACACTTGGGGAAGACAACCAGAGGGTAGTCCTCTACCTGGGAAAATATCGATCTAAGCTGGGAAAAAATCGGGAAGGGCTTCTCGGAGCCGAATTTGTCAGCGACGACACAAGGAGTATTCCAGAACGAAGCCAAAGTCGCACGATACAGAACAAATGTTTCTTGAAGGAAAGGCAGTCATGTGAGGTACGAGCGGAAAGCTTGAAACAAGACGCAGATGATCAGCATGTTCCTCGGGCTGTCCGGGCTGACTAGTCTCCAAAATCCAGGGGAAACCATGGCCTACTCGTGTTCTGACGATTTGAAAATTCAAATTTTCTTGCCATTGAAGCCCAATCGAGACTTTCGGCGGCCATATTGTTAAGTGGCGTGAAATCGCACAAAAAAACAGCCGTGTTGTATCGACCGCTTGTGTCGACCACTTAGGCATTGTAATATTTCGACTTAGGAGGGACTTAGAAATTTTCTCTCCACTTCAAAAAGAAAATTGAAAGAAGGAAGACAAAGGAAGAGAACAAACAGGATTCGAACCCACAACAGTGTGAATCTCAAGCAACCCTGTATACCACCCAGCCACTGTGCTGCAGATGCTGAACTCTGTTGTTCTTACAGTCTTGTACCCAAAATAGGAAACATCCTATGTACACTATAGAACAAATGCTATACTAAAAGGTGAAAATAGCTCCTAAAGGTTCAAATTTTGGGGTTATGGCAAAGGAATCGTGATAAAATATTGACCTCGACTTCGGTCTATGGGTTGGTACACAGATCGCCGGTACGCGCCGGGAGTCACCGGCGGTGGGCTTCTTGCAATCCTGGCGCATTGCGATTGTGTGAACCAGTGCAGTCGTAACAAAATCATACGGTAAAATATCGCAAGGGACCGCCGGCAAAGTTGGACAGTGCCCAACTCTTGAAATCTGCCCCGGCGCCGATCCCGTACAATTTTGACCAAAAGTCGTTTGTGAACCGTTCGCGCCGGTGATCGCCAGCTGCCGGGAGCCAGACTTTGTCAAAATTTCAAACCAATACTTGTCCTAAAGTTTCCTAAATTGAAGCTAGAGAGGAGGTCCGTTCACCATTCTTGTAGTCGCTTCAAGGTGTCAAATAAGTCAGCATACCAGCCCGTCCTTCTCGGATGATCTGCTTGACCAGTGTGCAACTTACGAGACAAATGCAATTGAAACAAAAAAAAAATATGATGGATACATTGGCAAGTTCTTGTGACTTTATCAACGTTTGCAATCATAATTTCGACACAACCGCTTACTAGACTGCAACAAAATGTGTAGAAGCAGTTTCATTATCTCCAGTAAAAGGTAGCACCGAGTGGCCATCACTGAAAGACCTTCAACTACTGAAGAAACAACGAATTCTAGCTTCAATTGGCAAACCTGTCGTAGCATTTGGGCACATTCTGTACTACTTTGTAGTAGATTTGTTACTCGAACCGTATACGCAATGGATCGGGAGCTGGCTCACCGCCGGTGTCTTGTGATGCCTTGCGGCACCGATTTTGCTTATGTGAACCAACCCTGTATGGGAAATATAGACCTGGTCTTGGTCATTATCCTATACATAATGGCAAATGCACGTTCCACTTCGCTGTGACCTACTGTAGTAAACATGGAGAACATTTGGCACACTGTAGCATCTCACATCAGATCCACCCAATTCTTTTCACTGGAGCACAATTATCATGTTGAAGGGATTGTCAAACCGCCTTCTGCCCTTGCTAAGTGTCCACGTCACCAACTCGTGTTTGTGGCGCGGTGATGGGCTCAGCGTGATGAAGCGCCTGGGCCATAGTGCACAATGTCATAATTATTGCATCGCACTGGCACACGGACTTCCAGCAGCAGGGGTAGTACATTCCTGTGGGCTATCATCCACCATGCAAAGCTCCAGAAACCAGTATGACATGTAGAGCAGCAAGGACAACTACATGTTTAGACAGTCTGAGAAGAGAATGATACAGACAGTCAAGTTCTTGTAATACCAAATATTCTGGTCCCGGAACAACTGGAATTTCACTATTGGGAAGGTTCTGGGCAAATCTCTGCATTAGTCCTGGAGATATTTAGCAAATCCAGATCTCTCTGTCGGAAACACGGCATACCAGCCCAGCCCGTCTTTGACATACACCGATGACAGAAAGTGCTTCCATACTAGAACAAAGGAGGTGATCTATCTCTATGCTCAGCAAAATAGGAGTTTCACTCTACACCTGCCTACTCCGCTTAGAGCTTGTTTATTGGTCTTGCTCTACTTCTCTTTCTTTCCTAGATGAGACAAATGTTTACAGACTAGACCAGGGTAATTGCACAACGGGTTTCTACGAGTTCCGCGGGCTATGCTGGTTTTTCCAAGACAAGAACGTAAGCGACTTTGACACATCCCAGGCAGACTGTCTGTCTAAGGGAGGCAACTTGGCTTCGATTCGTGACTCGTACGATTCCAGTTTCATTGTACGATATCAAGCAAAAATGGTTCCTCTCAACCATTTTAACAGGGTAAGTATAAACCCAGCCACGTACACAGCAGATGTTTACATCTGCATTTGGTCTTTTAAATGGTTACCTAGACACTTCCAGCAATATCGTTGGATATAATCTTCTTTTTAACCCTAGAAGTACCGGAGGCATCATAATAATTATGATGCATTTGCGAATTTCAAAATGGGATTGCTTGTATATGGGGGCTTAGAATCTGTCCAAATTTTGTGACTTTTATTTATTTTGTATTTTGTTAATGGCAGTGGGTTGCGTTTTAAATTTAGTACAGTTCCGAAATGCCAGGGGGTGCTACCTAGAGGTACCGCGTGGCATCATATGACTCCACATACCATAGGCATCAATAAAAGGGCGAATTTGGCTTAGAACCACACGTGAATAACGTGAAGAGGAATACATTTGGGAGCAAGGAGACTGGGGACCATGAAGGTGGTGATTTGTACAAATGGACATGCAAATATGCACATTTCACGTGTCCTTTTGGTCAATATCGTAATCCCGAATCCTGCCGGATCAGAAAAATTGGTTTGTCCTAAGTTTGGAAAGTGATTCACTATGTCATCTGCAGCATAGCACGATATGAAGTGCCAGGGCAGTTATAATATTCTAGGAACGGCCTTTGAGTTTACGTTGGTCTGGCGGAAGCCATGTTCAGTAGGCGCAGTGTCGCTGGCGATAAAGCATTTCATTTGATTTTGAATTTTGTTGGGCAGGAGGTTGGGAGTGAATGCGAGAGAGTGCCTGGGGCATTGTGCTCGAGCAATTAGAAGTGACCGAACACAGAGACACATAGTTGTATGCTCCAGATGAAGATGAGTGAATACTATTTGCTCCGGCTTCTCGATCAGTACAATACGGGACCGGAGTCGAAAGAGCAAGCGGATAATGGTGGTGATAACGCTATGGAGCCATACACATTACAGAACATCAATCCCCAAATGTCGTGCAGGATTTCCTTCATGAAGCTGGGTTCTCTGGCAAAGTTGGTAGGTAGTGGAAAATACGTTGCTCCAAGCAAGCGCGAACGCGAGCAACCGGTTGTTGCTTCCGAAGTATGCAGGCTTTTCCGAATTATTCACAATTTTGAAGATGGGGCAGATGCATTATTTGCATTTATTGACCACAATATGATCCATGTCATGATGAAGTGCACAAGGTAGGAGGAAAAACAAAAAAATTGGAGAGGACTCCATTTTGAGTGAAGGCAATATCATGGCATTGGTTTCGCAAATTTACGCAAGAGGCGTCCTCTGTATCCGCACTAATCTGCGGATGGCCCTGTGCCTGGATAGGAATGGACGCCATATAATCAAGTAAATTCCCTAAAAATAGTTTCCAGGAACTACTCTGCTACTTGAGATTTGATCACGAAGATGGTCTCCGCACATGACGTCGAACGAAAATTATTCATTTGCTATGAGTCGCGACACCACGTCCTCCTTTCGCTCATAAATGTATTTATCACAGCAGTCAAAGAATGACCAACCTGGCTGAGAAAAATCCAGCAAGTTGGCCCAGCAGCAGCCATTTCCGGGGTAATGGACCGAAATGTAGAGTTTGCAGAATGAGCATGGCAAGCAAATGCTCTTTTATTTTCCCTAAACTGACGAGAGGTCGCCCTTTCGCTGCGCGCACTGCCAGCTGCTGGTCTCCAAGATAGTGCACCTGTCATTGGGTCTTCCTTTTAAAAGGTACCTTTTACCCCAAGGACTTCTGTTTCTACCCATATTGCCGATAATAATTCCAAGCAGGTATGTTTAAGTCCAGTGAAGTCATATTTAAGGGAACGTGTCTAACAGAACCAGAAAAGCTGGGCTGGGCCATCTCTAAGATTTCAGTCAAATGTTGCACGTAGGTTTCCTTTGAGGTCCACCGTGCCTGCAGGCTACAACGTTCACACTAAGGTTCAACGGGAGTGACCAGGACAGTGCCCAAACAGGCTGAAAGTCGTAACCTGCAGGCATGGTGACCAGGTGACTTGTGTACGAATGAACACGTGATTGCTTATTCAACCTCGTTCGATTGGAAATAAAGGCCGAACACTACATCATAGCCTTCTCGGAACAAAACCAGTTCACTCAGCATCCAAAAGCCTACAACCTATGGACCAATCTCAGTCATTCGTGCTTTTCTACGATCGAAATTGCGCTTTTAGAGACATTTTGCAAACAAATCTCCATCTACTTCGAGTAGTAGGGTGCAGCCACCAAATCTCGGTGGAAATGGCGAGTTCGATTGGAAGGTTCGTAAGTTATATGATAACATATGACTTAGAACTTTAGTTATGTTACATGATAACATAACCTCTTATGTCTTCATATAACTTAGAACCTGCCAAGTTGGAAGGCGGTCGGAGTGCACACCCAAGGTGTGCTAGAGCTGTTAGCCAGTTAGTTGTAGAACATCGATCAATGTCGTGCAATTTTATCGCCGGAGCTGATTGTTTGGTGCCAAGGCTTATGACCAAATTTTGAGGTTTTGAGCTAACAAGAAATTGTGGTAGGTGGCCCCTACACCTCTCAGATGAAGATCCGGCAATAAATGATAGTTGTCGTTGTGGTTTTTGTGTGTGGTCTCCAGCCACGAATGATGCATGTTCAAACGTGAAAATGATGAGGTCTACTCCATTTCATTCAAGTTCTGAAAACCACTTCTCACGTGCACTGCACCATATTATTATTTTCGCCGTCCTTTTCTTGTTATGTTGCACCGTTGTTCAGCATGTGGAACTTCATGGGTTTGCTGATAAGTTTGAACGCATCAGTGAATTATTCGATTTTTCGTATGCTGTTGCAGTGTATGTTGCAGCAATTGTGGCATGTTTTTTTGCAACAAAGTTGATTTCTTTAAAAGAAAGAATATTCCCCACTTTGCATTTTTCGCACCCTTCAGGTCACCATTGGCTACAAGAAGACCTCGAACCTGTTTGGCCAGTTCTACTGGCAAGACGAATCCTGCCCAAATTACAACAGCTGGGGCTGTGGCGAGCCAGACAATTTTGGTACGAGTGGTGAACCTTGCGCCCTGTATCAGTTCGGCGGTGAAACAGGTGTGGTCAGCTTCACTGGGAAGTGGAGTGATTACGACTGCAAGGGAAAAATAAACTACATTTGCCAAGTGCCTCTGGCCAACCTTACCACACCATCTACTCTCTGTGCAGGTTAGCACTACGTGTCCATGTGTGTGTTGGGGGGGGGGGGGGGGGCGTGGGGGCGTGTGTGTGTGGGGGGCATGTGTGTGGGGGGGGGGCGTGTGTGTGGGGGGGAGCGGGCGTGTGTGTGTGTGTGGGGGGGGGGGTGTGGGGGGGGGGGGGGCGTGTGTGTGTGTGGGGGGGGGGGGGGGTGGGGAGGGGGGGGGGGTGTCCCGCGCCATCTATTCTCTGTGCAGGTTAGCACTACTTGTCCACACGTGTGTGTTTCTCGGAGGGCCAAGAAATGAGGAGCAGTCTTTGCACCCTGAACATGGATGAACTATCATTTTGTGCTGGAATCTTGATACTGTAGGGAAATCTCTCGAGGGGTCGGCATAATAAAGTTTAATGAAAGTTGGAAAGGTTTCTGTTAATGGGGTCCAATGAAATGGGGGTGGGGGTATATGCACTGTCTGCTCCAGAGCCGGGGCAGCCGGGTCAGTGACCCGGTTGGGGTACTTGGACCTGTTCGGAAAAAAGAACACCGGGTCACCTGTGACCCGGTTTGTAATTCAATATACATCAGGTAGCCCTGAAATACTTACAACCCCCGGATGTACATGCAGTAACCCCAACTGAAAAGACCCAGCACTGATTCGGTTGCGTTGGTGTTGCCAGGTACACGTGTACCCGTTCGGGTTGAAATCCCAGAACAGACACTGACATGATGGAGACTGATCCGATCCACAGAATGTACAACATGGTTTCACTGCTTTTAAATTTATCCGGTTAGTACATCTTAAGGCCATAGACAACTACTTAAAGCCAGGAAATGAGAAAATGTTGGGGCAGGCTCAATAATCTCCTGCTTTAAAGTTGTATAAGTCATTTATTTGAACTAGGGGTCAAACGGGTGTACCTTTAACTAACGACCGGGTAATTTTCTTAACGGGCGGGTTAACGGGTTACCTTTAGCAGCCATGTTTAATTTTTGGGCAATTTTCACATGAATCAAGATTTAAAATTAATCTGTTCTCGGGTTGCATTTTGATATCACATTGTGATTTGCAAATCAATTGGTGTCTGATAGTCGCAGGAGTAGATCTACTAGGTGCGAAAATGCAACAACAATGCAGACATCCAGCGTGGAGTTGTAAATAATTGACTCCCGCCTGGAATACACGATCCCAGCAGTGTTGCTCCGTACCGACTGGTTCATCAAAATCCAAACGGGTACCCTTTTACTAACGGTACCTGAGATTAACGGTCAGATACCCGGGTTACCGGTACACCCCTTTGATCCTTAATTATGTCATCAATATAAACTGCATACGGACTTATTCACTCAATGGATAAGCCGTTGATTTTTCATTGATTATGGCTTTTGTGTTTCTTCTAGTGTGTTTCTGTCTTCTGCTGGTTTTGGTCCGAAAAGGTTGTGATGCAGTATTCCTCCTTTATTCCCAATCGAACATGGTTGAACAAGCGGTCACGTGCTCCTGCGTACACCAGTCACCTGGTCACCGTGCCTGCTGGGTACAACTTACTAGCCTGTTTGACCTTTTTTGGGTGCAGTCCTGTCACTCGAGTTGAACTCGAGTTGAACCTTGGTGTGAAAGTTGTCGCCTGCTGGCATGGTGACCAGGTGATTTGGGCACCCAGGAGCACGTGACCGCTTGTTCAAAGTTGTTTGATTGGGAATAAAGGAGGAACGCTGCATCGCAGCCTTTTCGGACCAAAACCAGTCGACTCAGCGTCCAAAAGACTACAACATATGGCCCAGAATCTGCGAAAACCAGGCTTAGGGTGAAATTTCACAAAAATGACTTTTTCCCATTTTCAGCTTCTACTGGGCATGGGCGGTCAGGAAACAAAATATTACAGGTGTGGGTCGACTCATAGTGGTATTAAAAGTATCTCAAACACACCAGGGTATTGTGTTAAAAAATCCAAAAAAAAACACAAAATTGTTATCACAGGAAACAAATGAAGAGAGATCCACCAGACTGAAGGAAGAGACATGGATGATTCTTGTTTAGGTGACATGACAAGGTAGGCATGTGGGGGCAGGCTTGTTGTGGCCCCTTGGTGCTGCAGCCTGTAGTGACCATGCACAGTTCTACATGAATTTTGTTTGCTTCTCACTCAGCACATTCTGGGGCTGAATACATGTATGTTGTGTTTGAAGTATGATGCACTGGCACACTCTGGCGCTATACCACAAGGAAACCCGACTCCAGTTGAGATGGCACCTTTTGAAGGGTGAATCTAGTACAACTGTTCAGAATCAAGCAAGAACACAGCCTTTCAAACTGTTCCACTATTTATAGTAAGCGCATAGTGTGCTGGCGTGCTGCAGTATCTGCTTGGTGCTGACCAGCAAATATCAGCACGCCTACAGTCCCTTGCAGCTAGCTGTCCAGCGAGGAAAGTCTCGAGTGGGGGCCTCTCGATCTGCTCGCTCATTCGCCTGGCCTTCAGTAGCACTTCATCGCCAAGGACTTCAATTCAAAACAGTTTTCACACTGCGCTTCAAGCCTTTTCCTCGTGAACTTGCTGCAAACGTATGAGCTCTGCTGCGCGTGTTCGCTTTGCGTGAGGCCCAGAAACAGCTAGTATCTCCGTACTTCGATTGGCTGGATCGATGTCGTCCAGTTTCTCCTCGCTATCGCCATCACGACTCTAACTGGAGACGATTTCTTCACCATTTTCCGCAAGCAGCAGCTAGCGCAGAAATTTCGCCATCCCTGATCCTAAGCTGAGTGTAGGAGATGGAATCCGTTCGATCAGCTCAAAAACTCTTCGCTGTGACTAGAGGAGTAGCAGGGAATATTCTACCGGAAGCCCTTTGACTTCCCTGACTGCTGAAACCCTTCCTGCCATGACTGCTACTTCTTCAAACAAGCGAGATTCTCTTTGGTTCCACTTCACTGCACTCGATCGTCCACGCGACACAACCTTTTTACAAAACATCATTTTTCTCAAAAAATGATTTTCACCCTAAGCCTGGTTTTCGCAGATTCTGGGCCATATGGGCCAATCGCGGTCATCCGTGCTTTTATAAGAACGAAATGGCGCTTTTAGTGACATTTTGCATACAAATCCCCATCTAGTAGGGCGCCGTCACCCAGTTTCGGTGGAAGTGCGCGGGTTCGATTGGGATTCAAGTAGGAAGGGAGCGTCTCAGCTTTCACGGACCAAGACCATTCGACTCAGCACCCCGAAGACTACAACTGGTGAAATTTTAATTTTTGCCTTAACTTCCTCTTTACCCCGCACGTCAAGAAAATTACCCGTTCGTTAGTTAAAGGTACACCCGTTTGACCCCTAGTTTCTTCTTACTTCTCATTATTCAAATACTGTAAAAAATACCATCTTCATCAATAATAGAAATGCAACTAAAATCCAAAACAATTTTTTAAATATAAGGAACTCCTATCGGCCCTCTTAAGAGTTGTGTGTATCACTGTTGAGGCATCCGATGGTAAATAAAATAAATACTACTACTACTAACTCAAAGCAAATGAAAAAACTCAATGCAAATGAAAAGAACCCAAAGCAAATGAAAAGAACCCAAAGTTAAAGAAAAGAACCCAACCAGCCGCACACGGAGCACACAAGAGGCAACAGCATAAATAAGTAAACTTCCTCAAAAAACGTATCTGTGAAATCCAGGAATGTAGACCGGAGCTTGAGCCTCCGGCACAGCTAGTGCAGCAGACGAAGCACCGGTCTCTTCTTACTGGGAAAAGTATCTACTACCTTAGTAGCAGCTTCTTCGTACTTTTGTGAGTTTGTAATGTGCACACATAGCTAGATCATCGAACCACCGACCAGTCAGCGCACTGCGGGAGTTGGCGGCGGCTGAGGGCCGCATGTGAGTGGCTGAGAGAAAATGACAGTTTACATCACATTCAGAGGTCTGGATTTTGTATTGTTCTTGTCTGAAGTTAGTTGTACTATGATTGGATTCGTTCCATGTTGGTTTTGGGCATTCCGCTAGTTTTCTTCCGTAGTGCTGATGGTAGAGGTTGGTTTATTGAAGTTCTTTTTCTTTCTTTTTTTTATTCATAGAATTATTCTCTTCATTTGTGTTAGCATCCTTCATCTTGGCAAATTGTGTTTTGTTGCCCGTAAATAAGGCTTTTGACACACACATGTATGCTTGTACACATGTGAATGTGCATGTTCACTGCATTTCACAGTTGCGTTCATGTAACACGGGCCTTTGTTTTGTGGGTGTTTGTGTTCGTGTCATGGCAGATATCAAGTGCAATCCTGGGTGGGTGTCCTGGAGAGGTAACTGCTACAAATTTGTCACCAACGACTCACGAAACTGGCCTTCAGCCTACGAGAAGTGTCTGAAGATGAACTCAGCGCTGCTTAGCATATCAGACTTCACAGAGGAGGCATGGGTTTTGCAACAGCTGGAGAAGTTCAATTTACTGGCAGAGAAGAAGCTCTGGATCGGCTTGAATGACCAAAAGTCCCAAGGGTACCGCTGGCCAGACGACACTGCTGCATTCTACCGTAACTGGGACTGTGATGCGTATGCAAACTCGGCCAAGCAGTGCGTCTACATCTTTGCCGGTTTCCGTAAGGTGGGCAAACAACGTACCGGAAAGTGGGGCGCGGATTCCTGTTCCAGCTGGAGTACTGGCTACATCTGCGAATCATCCCCAGCCAGTGCCATGGGTGAGTGAGTCCAATGAGAATGCTCTGGACACATTAACCGTCATTTCATTTTGATATTTTTCCTACATTCCCAGTATGTTGGAGTCCGTTTGGACTCCAGTCGTATTATGCTGAGTTTTAATGAACTCAAACCATAATTTCGAGAGTTTGCTCTTGTGTTTCTCTTCACATATGCCATTGCCGAAAACAAACTATTATCTTTGGCAGAAAACTGGAGAATGAAGTGAAATAGACATAAAACCTGCAACTGAGTATTTCCGCTCTATCGCCGAAAAATGGTGAAATGTGAAGCCACGAAATATGGCCCGATATCTGAGACTTTCGCCCTTCGGGGCTACGCGGTTTTTTTGAGAAAACACTAAAAACAAATTTGTTCGCAAAAAAATCGATTCCGTCAAAGCGAAGTGCAGAGACGACAATGGCGGAAGAAAATTGAAGGCGATTCTTGTGTCAGTTGGTTATTGGGCTCACGGAGCACAGCAGCCGCGATCCCACGGACGGTGATGCATCGTTCTTTGTGGATATCCTGTCAAGCGGCGACAGCGCTTCTAGTTCTGAGAGCGCATGTCAGGCGAATCGATCGCAAGTGACACGCGGTACTTACTTGTCGGGGCCGACGATGATGAGGACTTGGCCTGGATGAGTATGATCAAGGCCAACCACAGTCTGCCTCAGCGATAGCTGCTACAGCTCCAGGCAAGGACAACCAGGTGGATTGCTGAGGGTACGCCGCTTGCAAGGTCGCTGGACGCCCTTGCGCGAGTGGCAGAACTGTTTCCTGAGTGTCACGCCAGACCTGCTAAAACAGCACGAAATGATGCGAGTTTTCTTTGCGACGATGATCCCAAAATGTTTGGGATGGCAAGCTCGATACTCGAGCTAATAATGGCGAATCAGACCATCACGGAGCACATGAGGCTGGGCAATCTCGAGTAACATTCTGTTACTTTTGAGTTGGTGGTGTGAAACGCTTGTCAGGCTGGTTTACTGATGTTTGGAAATGGTCAGTCTCCACAAAGTGCAACAAGGCGAATCTGGACGCATTTGCTCTGTTTGACTCCTTCACAATAAGTATGTGAATGCTGTCACATGTATCATGGTGTTCCGTCAAAATCTGTTGCAGACTATCCTGTCAAGCATGTCCATCACCAGGAGAACAGATAAATCACCTCTCCTTCTAATGCTGCTATTGCTGCTGTTGCAACTACACAACCTCAATAAAGTCACGGAATGCTGGAAATGAAGTACCTGAACAGTCAAAACACTTTACTATATTAGTTGGCTATTGATATCACATGGAAACAATTTTTGGTGGCTCCAAACACACTGATCTTTCAAAATTGTAAAAAAAAAGAACAATTCATTAACATGACTCCTGACTGTAGAATGCATTTCTACATGGTCAATATTGGTCTGATGGCCGTGAAACGAAGTCACAATACTCTACAAAGGCAAGACATCAATTTGCAATAAAAAAATCAATTTCACCAAAACAGCCCCGAAGGTCGATTTTCTCAGATATTGGGCCATATGTTTGGCTCGCACACTCAGATGGTTTCTTACTTGACGCACATACAAGAACTGTGTTGTTTTATGGAGCTCGGACTACGTGTTTTGGCAGCTACTATTCAAACAGGCTGGACACATCAAACACGGACATGTGGTCCATTCGAACCCCGCACACACGTTTTTTCGATTCTTCAAGTAGATAGAAGAAATTATTGGTTCGTTGACTCTATTATGTTGCTCTGATAGAACATTCACTGGCCGGAACAAAAATATTCTCCTTGGACTTCAGACTTATCGCTGATTGTACTGAAATATGACCTCTGCTCAACAATTGCTGAAACAGTAATGTGCGAAGAAGGCCCTGATCTTGTTTGTGCAACTTCTGCGGTCACAGTTGACATCATCGGCGACTTACTTGTGTTGGATTAGCATCAAGTGCTGGAAGCCCTACAAATCCAATCAATATTGAAATTTAACCTTGAACCTTCCGAGTTGGAAGGCTGTTGGTTAGCGTTACGAAGATCTGTTGAAGCTAGGTTTCAGGACATCGAATGTCTCATTACTCTGTCAGTTTTGTGCCTAGCTATTGCACTTTCTGACTGTATATAGTATCTTGTTACAGTGGTGGAGAGTTACTCTTAACTCGTATCCATATGTCCTTTTCATTTCTACAATTAAAGCTCCCTGTCTCTGGTCAAGGAGGTAGCGAGATGTTCTCACGTGTCACTGTATATGAGGATTCACAAGGTCGGTATCGAGCTGCACCAAAAATAGTCTGAATGCCTTCTTATTGGAGATCCAAGCAAGTGTGTTGGAAAACCACATAATAAATCCTGCAAGCTACAGCAAGCCTGCAAGCTACAGCTTACAGGTAGAAAAAGAGCTCCGGGTGGCACCACCGTGTCTATCACTTGACAGTGTGTGTTGAACACAATTTGTCGATGTTATCCATCGCCAGGCCAGTACGCAGGATTCAAACTGGGGTGGATCTTCTAGTGTTCTGGTGGAACTTCTTGAGCGTATGTGATTATTCTAGCCAAGTGTCAGAACAATAATAATAATAATAATAATAATAATAATAATTTTTTAAAAGAGGTCGGAGGCGGATAATACTTTAAAACGAAGGTAAGTTATGGGTCGCAAATATCCACGCAAACACACATCCAGTCATAATAAGGCACTTGTCATAAGTATCCGAACGTTTTCGGTCCCTTCTCATCAAGGATTATACAGGGAATGGCTCAAGCTGGAAAGACTAAAACTTATATAGCGTAAAGATAATTAGATAACAACACTCGTGACAAGGTGGAAAATTATCAAGTTTAGCACGACACAAAACTCGAAGGAAGATAATAATAGTGACAACAACATAGTGAGCAAATTAAGTTACATTGTTACCAAAATGTGTTGTCGCTACAATTGTTTGGTGTTACTCCTCGTCGAGGTGGTAACAATGTAACTTAATTTGCTCACTATGTTGTTGTTACTATTATTATCTTCCTTCGAGTTTTGTGTCGTGCTAAACTTGATAATTTTCCACCTTGTCACGAGTGTTGTTATCTAATTATCTTTACGCTATATAAGTTTTAGTCTTTCCAGCTTGAGCCATTCCCTGTATAATCCTTGATGAGAAGGGACCGAAAACGTTCGGATACTTATGACAAGTGCCTTATTATGACTGGATGTGTGTTTGCGTGGATATTTGCGACCCATAACTTACCTTCGTTTTAAAATAATAATAATAATAATAACAGCACATTTCGCGTAGTAGAGCACTAAATAAAGAAATTCAGTGTTTTTTTCCGCTTCTGTCTCGTGAGCATCATCAGCTAGGTGTAGTAGCTGCTGATACCGATTTCTCCCCGGGTGTCGAGCTGCACAGTTTCCTCCAGTCTGTCTAGTCTGCTGCTTGTTGTCGGCACCTGGAAAGGTCTTCCATGGTCTTCAATGGCACACCCAGCTTATTCAGCTGAGCGACCAGACTTGTGGCCAGTGTCAACCTTGGCCGTCCACGAGGTGCTTTGTTGCCCTTGTCAAAATAGCCGCTCATGGCTACTTGCGGTGGCGTGTCCGTGTCCATCCGTAGCACATGACCGGTCATTTGTAGTCGCCTACATGCAACTGTGTCTGATATAGGGTTGCTCTTGGTTCTGCGGTATAGGTCGTCGTTTGAAATTGTGTCTGGGTATCGTATTCCAAGGAGTGATCGCATTTGACGCTGGTGGAATGCGTCTGCCTTGGCCATTGCTGTTGACGATAATCCCCAGGTCTCGCAATTGTACAGGAATGTCGGCAGTACGATAGCGTTGTACAGGCGTAAGCGTGTCTTCTCCGCTACTTTATCTCTACGCAGCCATAGGGCGTACAGCTGGCCAAACACGCGAGAGGCAAGTTCCATCCTGCGCCGAACATCCTCTTCCTCCCCCATCAAGGAGCCAAGCTGCCTAGATGTCCGCCAGCTCTCGGATTCAGGTGACACACGGATCCACTCTGTTTTATCTGGATTTACTTTTAATGACCAATCGTGCAGTGTGTCTGCTATTACAGGCAGAGCATTCTCAAGCCACAGCCTGCAGGTTGAATAATAGGAGATGTCATCTGCATAACCCGTCTCTGGTGGTAGACTTGCGTCGCCAGCAGGGCGGGGCGCGAGACGAGTTCTGCATTCCTATAGTGCAACCTCCAGATAGCAGATGAAGAGAACTGGGCTGAGACTGTCGCCTTGTGGTGTTCCAATAGTGCTCTCAAACGGTTCAGCTGTGGCACTTGCAACCTTAACAGTGATAGTTGTGTTGTGGAGTAGGTGGTGGATGAGACATGTGCAATCTGGATTGGTGATTGCAGACATCACCTCCAGCAGCTTCAGGTGGTTAATCGTATCGAAGGCCTTGGACATGTCCAGGCCTAGAATGTGAAATTGCTGTCGGTAACGAATGGCTCTTGCAGCGATCCACCGCTGGGTCCATACCACGTCCGCTGTATTACGGCCCAGGCGGAAGCCGGACTGTGTAGTACCAAGATGATGAGAGAGTGCCCCGGATTCCGTGATGCGCCGAAGCACAATGATCGATATCACTTTGCGGATAGAGTTTAATAAAGTGATGGGCCGCAGACTGGTTACAGGACCCTTGGGCTTGTTAGGCTTAGCGAGAGGTATGAGTATTCCTGGTCCAATAGCCGTCGATAAATTGGCACCCTGCGAGAGCGCAGCGTTGACGAAATTTGCTATGACTGGCGCTAGCACCTCGGATCCATATTTCAGGACAATATGGGTGGTAATTATACTTCGAACGCACCCCGCACAACTTTGAACAGAAGCAGCGGCAGGATGAGCCGCCTGCAGTGACTGTGCGATCTTCACCATCACATGCACGCACGTTGAAAAGCGCGCTGCAAAAGTGGAAGAACCGTTTTCCACCATGCTGTCTCTACCGCATTGTACGTGCTGAATATGTCTGCGCTCGTGACCGCAGGTTACTCGATCGAGCACGACCGGAGTCATGACTCATGGTCACTGTTCCGGAGTACGGATCCTGAACTTTTCCGTCTGTGCTCTGGATGCAGCATCTGAGTATGAGACTCGTAGTAGCATCGGTCATCGTACCTGCACGAAAAAACTTGAAAAGTCCGTAGCTGCATTTGATTTGCGGATTTATTTTCGTCCGCACCCCCGAACCGCCCCCCCCCCCCCACCCCCCACCCACCGACTGGGTACGGGCAAGATCGCACTATTGTGCTGTTGTAGTGCTGGATGAGTTCAGGGTTCTGCTTTGGTCTCTAAACGTCTACATGTATAGATTGATTAATCGACGAGAGAGCTAGGAAATGGGGGATAAAAAAATTCCACCTATTGTAAATGACAACGATGTAGTTGTCTGGTGTCCAGACACATGGTTTCCGAAATTTTCAACCCAATCATGTACTTCTAACCCAGACAACCTCTGATATCTAGTGGTTGAGGAATACCTGGAATTTAAATATCACGAAAGGAAAATAATGGTATACCAAAAATCATATATCTGGGGTCCCCTTGGACCCAAAAACACTGATGAGGGTTAAGGTTGTTCAACAACATTTTGAAATGTTTCACAAATAAACTTTCTTGAAATTCCTTATTGAATGATAGCGGGAGGGCTTGAAAGCCGAGGAGCCCTCGCTACGCTTTGATTTTACCTAGGTCATCATGTGTGCTATTAGAACTGATTGAAATGTCTTTGCAATACAAAACGCTTTCGTTCCAATTTTTTGAAAAAAGAACCTTTAGCTCATCAACAGACACATGATACATAACTCAAAACGCTAAATCCGAGACCGGTAAATTCTACCAAGTGTTACATCATATCATACTGTGGTGCTAGGTTATTGAAATTTTGTTTTCAGTTTTTGTAAAAAAAAGAAAAGAAACACATGAGAACGAGTTATGCAGCAACTATCCACGACTGTAACAAGATGATGAACAGTCAGAAAGTGTGAATATATGGCACAAAACTGACAGGCTACTGAGACCTTCAGCGACCCGAGACCTACATGTACAGCTAGCTCTAACCCATCTCCAGTGTGCAAACCAACAGCCTTCCTACTTGGAAGGTTCATGGTTACGTAGGACCGAAGAGGGGAAGGTGAGCGCAGCGAAAATGTGCACAAGCTAAGTCCCACGACAACAAAGAATGCCGACTGTTACAGGACGATGACGAGGGCAGTTAATAACATGACAATGCGGTCTAACTACAATTCGAAGTAGCAAAGCAACACACCATGCAACTCGTGGATAGTTGCTGCATAACTCGTTCTCATGTGTTTCTTCTCTTTTTTTACAAAACTGAAAACTGAAAATAATTTTAATATGACCTAGCACCATAGTATAATTTTTTTTACATTTACTACTGGCTCAGTATTCAAGTTTCAATTTTCAATTTTTGTTTCAATTATTTTGAGAAACAGAGGGTACCAGGTTCAACTTCTGCTTAGAAGACGAAGTTTTTTTTCAGCTGAGCTGCGGTCCATAGTCAATTGGGAACTCGTGGCCTGGCACGAGGAAACATGGATGTTACGAAAGTGATTTTTGGTCTTTGACCACTCGCATCTGCGTCTTGATCCTAGAGGATGGTGGCTTTCCTGTCACGCGAACCGTGATTTTTTTGTTTTTTACACTGGCGTACCATCAGTGGATCCAAGTCATTATGTTGACCCCCTTCTACAAGTAGCATTATAGTCATTTGCGGCGATAGGCCCCCAGAACTCTTTCTCTCTCTATACTTATAACTCTCAACCTCTTTCTCTCTTTCTGTTACTCACCATCTCTCTCTCTCTCTCTCTCTCTCTCTCTCTCTCTCTCTCTCTCTCTCTCTCTCTCTCTCTCTCTCTGTCAATGTCTCTCTCTCCCTCCCCGTCCTTCCCCCCCTCCCATGGTGCTTGCCGTGTACGCCGATCCCGCGACCCTTGGTCGGAAGACCACCGCACCTCTCCAACGCAGCTCATATAGCACCTACACACCCATTGTTGCGTTTTTTGTTTTGTCTTCGTTTTGTTTCCCCTTCTTCAGTAGGTATGTGCAATGTGATAAATAAACAAAAAAACAAAACAAAAACACATACCGGTACGCGTAACATGGGATATGAACCTGCACTATCGCCATGCATGTTTTCTCTCAATTCAGTCCACATACATACACATTCTACCAAATTGCTTCATATTATGATCCTGCCGGTGAAAGCTCTATTGGAATTATGTGACCAACTGGCTTTGACGGCACGGTACGGGGACATGTCAAGATAGCTAGCCAGGCCTGGCGAGTCAAGTGGACTGGTTTGCATCAGAAGCTACTAAAGGAGCATCCTTTACATAGCTTCTGGAATAAACATAATATATGCCAAACATCGATATCTTAGTTGCTCTGTTCGTTGCTCCCTTACTTTCGTGCAGGCCATATTCCACTTGTCACTCAAGGCTCTTGCGATCCAGGTTGGGTATGGTTCCAAAAACGCTGCTACTATTTCTCCCAGGACAAGGTGACCTTCCCAACCGCCCAGGGCAATTGCAGCGTCTTTAACGCCCGGCTTGGGGTCATAAATACGCAAGCCAAGAACAACTTTGTTTTGCACTACATGATCCGCAACTGGTCCAACTTCACAGGGTATGGCTTCTGGATTGGCCTTCACCAGGCCAAGCCCACCGATCCATTCACTTGGGTTAACAGCACTGAGCCAGTCGTCTACACCAACTACAACTGTGGCGAGCCTAATAATGCGGGTGGCAGTGAGGACTGCATTGAGTTTTGGATCTCAAGATTTTCCTTCAAATCAGCCGGCTGGAACGATAGCCCGTGTACTCACTCAACTCATTACATCTGTGACAAGGTGGCACCGCCAATGCCAACTAAGCCAAGTCAGTGCAAAACAATTCCCTAGGGATATTGCTGTGATCATGCATAGTATGTTCATAAAGGTCTTGTGCGCATTCCTTGGCACAATTTGGCTGTACATGACCTAGGTAGTCTTGAAGTCGTCTTGTAGCACTCAACTCAGCATCGCAGGAGAACCCATCCAACTTTGGTTGCATTTCTTTCTAGTTTTGATGCTGCTCATTATGAACATTTTATACGTGCCTGCATGTCGGTCAAACCAGGGTGGGGGGGGGGGGGCTCACCTAAATTGCAGGGTTATTGCATCGGCACTTTTGGGTAAGCAAAGCGCCATCTGTGTACCTGGGATACCAGGAATTGTGGTCACAACAATTGTCTGTTTCTAAAGCTTCACTAAAATTAGCTGCGATCGGTTCACACAGTGACTCTCAGCTGCACTGACAAGGTCGAACCTGCTAGTGATCGCGAGATTCAGGAGTGCATGATGATTCTTGCTGATAAGTTCACTCAACTCGCATGATCGCATGATCACCAATGACTCAGGCTGCATCTGAACATTAACTCATGCAAGGCATGGATATTTGCTTCATCACGGAGTCAAATTGGTTCATAATCAAGGGACCTATTGCATATCTCCACTCCCTGTGAACATGACCGGTTTAGTCTGGGACGACATTGATATTGGGGAAACGGTGAGGCAGAAATGCAAAGAGATGAATGCTGCTGTGAAAACAAAGAAAAAGACTCAGTCACTTAAGGAGATGGAAGCAATGCTTGGCCTTTTTGTTTTTTTTATTTCTGTGTGGCAACCGTAGGGACCTGCAAACAAATAATTATGGTATTGACTTCAGACTTTTTCCATTTGGAACTTCACTCAAACTGATGAGTACTATAATGTGTTGGGGCTCCCTGCATGTTAGTTTGTATGTGAAGTATGTGGGTTACCATGAGGGCTGTGTCCCACCAGCATTTGTATGTGAAGTATGTGGGTTACCATGAGGGCTGTGTTCCACCATCCTTTGTATGTGAAGTATGTGGGTTACCATGAGGGCTGTGTCCCACCAGCCTTTTATATGTGGAGTATGTGGGTTACCATGAGGGCTGTGTCCCACCAGCCTTTGTATGTGAAGTATGTGGGTTACCATGAGGGCTGTGTCCCACCAGCCTTTGTTTATGCACAGGAAGGGTGAGCGTCGAAGTCTGAGAATTATATTCAACAGTCGCTGCTTGGATGACGAATGCACCATAGATAGTGGTAGACGTTGAGTGAGAGTGACGCTGGTTTACAACTATCCAGCACCGTCCTTCTCTTTCACATCATTTATTCTTCTGTATTTTCCTCCAATGGCTATGCTAGATCAGGAAAATCAGATGTTTGCTGGTAATTGAGTCAATGGATTCATTCATAAAAACTAAGGAAATCCAGGAGAATGAACGGCAGGTAAATGAAGAGAGCCCTGAGGTCAGTTTGCTTTTCCCTCTATCCTACTATCACCTTGCAGGTGGCGCTCACGTTCTCGGACCAGTAACAACTCTTGTCAATGAATTTCAGTCAGCTTCATTCATCTGCAATGCCAGTGGATATCCTGCTCCGGATATATCCTGGTATCATAATGGCACGCTTCTGATCAACTCCTCGGAAGTAACCATCTCATCCACTACGTTCAGTGTTTTCACAACATCTGTGCTGCTATTGGCAAATGTAACTAACGAGAGCAATCAAGGCTTTTACATGTGTCAAGCCAGGAATATTTTGGGTTCTAATACCAGTAACACGGCCGAGCTGATCGTGTTTGGTAAGCAGTACCTTACGTAAAACACCATTATGTTGTTGTTGTTGTTGTGCACTCGCAGTATACTTTATATATAGGAGAAATCCAAACAAGCATACGCCTAATAACAATGGACCCACTGTGAATAAAACCCAGTCTGGACTTCACGAGTGCAAACATCTACAGGCATACATTAGCAAGTAGTAGTTTCATAGTATAAGCATGACTGGCGCCTTGAAAACTGAGAGAGGGACATTCTTGAGAGAGAGAAATTAGCGATGAATAACATAAAGACTGTTCATGGCATGAATGTCTAGAAATCTGGTTTCGTTGGTGGACTCTAACACATAACTCGTGCCCGACAGTTTTCCTTGTTTCCCAGTAAGATTATCATTTATTTTGCTATATGGAACAGATTTGCGAAAATGGGTGACAAGCAAAACACTTTATGCTGTGCACTCATGTTTGCAATGTTGTGCGGCAGTGACATGATTTTCAAAGTACACATGGAAACCATGATCTATTTGACACTAAATTGAAACTTTGATAAGGGTTTGGATCCAGGTAATAATGTCCCTTCGCTGTACCCTCAGGAAAGGAACAGGACAGAATTTCTTTCACTTTTTCACACCGAGCCCAGCTAAGAAGAAAACTTTAATTTTAAGCCGGTCCATGTAAATTTATGGATGCGTTCAAATGATGCTAGTACAAAGACAACCAATATGTTCACTTCACTACGCCCCCCCCCCCCCCCCACCCACACCCCACACCCTGTTTTGTTCACAGATAAATCACACCGTATTTACATTTGTTGTGCAATTTTGTTTTTTTGCGTTGCTGATAGTTCCTGTCATTCAGGTAACGCCGCTAGCAAGTCAGAATGTGTCAGAAGGTGTCACTGTTCAATTTGAATATGGTGTATATGGTGTCCCGACTCCAAGAATAACATGGTTCAAGGATGGAAAGGTAGGGGCAGATGCAGCTATTCTACAGCATACATCCGCAAATACATGTAGAAGCCGTCAGCCGCCCTTCGAGAGATTATAGATCAACAGCCATTCACAAAAATGTGAAACATGCGCCAATAGATATTAATACCTTTACAGCATGGTAAAATGCATGAAATGCATGAAGCTACAGAATTATCCAAATTCAGTCATAGCAATGACGCCTGTGTAATTGGCGGAGAAAAATAAAAGTTAATTACCAAGAACAACAACAACAATAAGCCATCAGAGTTGTTCAACCCCTGCATGACAATCGCCATCACAGCGAGTACAGCCTAGTCTGAATCTTCGATTTATCTAAAGCCTTTGATACTGTGTGGCACCGTTGACTGAGGGCTAAGATCGCGTCATTCTCGAATCAATGACTTGTACTACGGTGGTTGGAGAGTTACCTGTGTGGTCGCTCACAGCAAGTAATCATCTCGGGTCAATTGTCCCATCCTGAATGCGTGTGTACTGGTGTCCCCAGGGATCAATTATGGGTCCCCTGCTTTTTCTTATGTTCGTGAATTATGATTGGTGCAATTCCCAACACCTCGCTATATGCGGACGACACCACTCTTCTGGCTAGTCACTGGTCGCTCCCCGTCGCATGTCAAGACCTGCAGGTAGGAATAGACTGTGTGGGCAAGTGGATACGAAGGTGGAAACTCCCCTAACAAGCCGGAACTCGCTTCGTTTCCCGATTGCAAGAAACAATTCCAAGAGCCACTCGCCTGTATTCCTGGCATACCAATTATGGGATTCTCAATAATAACGGGGAACTCATCAGAGGAGAAGCAGTTGTTGAATGAAGGGGTTCAGCTGAATAATGCTATTTTATAGAAAAGATATTGGCGCACTGAGGTGTAAACACTCAACTAACTCACATATGTGACATATCAACACAAAAGAATAGTGCAGAATATGAGGTAGTTGAGTGTTTACACCTCAGTGCGCCAATATCTTTTCTATAAAATAGCATTATTCAGCTGAACCCCTTCATTCAACAACTGCTTCTCCTCTGATGAGTTCCCCGTTATTATCTCTATGGAACGAAACAAGACTTGTCAGGAGTACTACGACTTGCTTTCAGGGAGTGTGGCTGCTGAACTGTTCGTGCTGTGATCTGCAAGCGTCGTGTGGTCTCGTCGGGTCAAATGAAAAACCTATTACTACTGTATTTGACGGACCTATTGAAGATGGCAACAAAGAATTATGACTTCTCCTGGACCAGGAAATCTGCCATTGACCAGAGGAAGGATGTGATCTGCTGCTCGGATTATAGCGTTAGACGCCAACCCTGCAGTCAAGATCAAGCTGGATACGTCGCCTCAGCAGCCCACAGTTCTATGTCACACCCAGCAGCCTTCCTTTCACTATACCGCTGGCTGAATTTCAATTATCGAGGTTTGTGAAGTATTTGTCTTGTGCAGGTAGCAATCTTCAGATGTGACGTTAGACGTCCGTGAAGATTTGTTGGTTTTCACTGGGCCTCTAATTTTCACCTATCTTTGTCACTACCTCAGTACCATTGTGACGTGTCAACTAGCGCAACCTATTCCTGTGTACCTTTACCTCTCCTTCTCATTGTGAATGATTTAGCACTTGTGATAGTTGTGTCTGGTAGGGTTCAGAACACCTCCATTCTGCACTATTCCTTTTGTGTTGCAACATATGTCACATATGTGAGTTAGTTGAGTGTTTACACCTCAGTGCGCCAATATCTTTTCTATAAAATTGCATTATTCAGCTAAACCCCTTCATTCAACAACTGCTTCTCCTCTGATGAGTTCCCCGTTATTATCTCTATGGAACGAAACAAGACTTGTCAGGAGTACTACTACTTGCTTTCGTGGAGTGTGGCTGGTGAACTGTTCGTGCTGTGATCTGCAAGCGTCGTGTGGTCTCGTCGGGTCAAATGAAAAACCTATTACTACTGTATTTGACGGACCTATTGAAGATGGCAACAAAGAATTAGAACTACAAGTTAGACTAAAATGTCCACTAACACCACCAGTTCCTAAACAATCTCATCGACTGACCAGCGATACTGACGTTCTACAACTGACTGGCTATCAGCTCTTGCACGTCTCGGATGCGTACTCCAACAGCCTTCCAACCTGCAAGGCTCTAAGTTGTATGCTAACATACTCGTAAGACCAGTTAGTTGTAGAACGCCAGTTTCGTCATTCAGTGTTGTGCAATATGTTATCGCAAATGAGCAGATTGTTTAGTAACTTGTGGTGTTAGTGAACATCAGTGCGACTTGTGGATCCTTGGTCCTTTCTCTTTTCTATAAAATTACCTTGTCTTCTTCAGGGTCGATAGGCTCACAGTCATTGGCGTCAGTCACGTGGGTCATCATTAACACGTTTCCTATTTTTGTGTCCTATTTTCATGCTCAACTTCAGATTCTGAGTTTGTCAGACCGCGTCAATATGGCAAACAATAATATGACTTTGATAATGGTCAACGTCCAGTTTGGTGATCGAGGTTCATATCATTGCGTGTCTGACAATCGAAACAGCGTCAATCTAGATCTTGGAGGGGTTCAGAATAGCACAGCAGCCAATCTTGATGTGAACAGTAAGCCTTTCCTTTCTAAATGTATTTCTACTTACCTAATGCTGTAGACTTTGATCCTAGAGGGTGGTGGCGTTCCCGCGGCGGATGCGGAAAACTCGGCTTCCAGCCGAGTCTCACGCGAACCGTGAAATTTATTTATTATTTAATGCTGTAGACAGCAAGCTGTTTCGGCCATAAAGGTCTCATTAGTACAGCTACGAGCTAAACAGGTCGAGCTACCAGCCATGGTGCAAAGGAGGCACCAAAGGCATTAAGATAACTCGTCGTTCTAGCGCCAAAGTGTAAAGCAGCTCAAGAAACTGGAATCAACATGGCTGCCAGCTCAGAGGGATGCGTGTTAAACAACTAACATCAGTCATGGGGTAGTGCGGATGGTAGGACAGTACTGATGAGGCTGACAATGCAATGGTTTGAAACAATCAGCGTTCTACACATTGGAACCAGCTATTTGGAAGTAAGAAGGTAGAGATAAATCTAAGGTACTCGAAATAGGAACTGAATTATGTAGCTGCGAACATGGCATGGGGCATATTTTTTTGAAAGCCGAGCCATAAGGAAGATGGTGCAAATAGGTCACCCAATATCTCGCTGAAATCCATCTGTTGAGATTTATTTTCAAGAAGTATGTCTACATAGAGTACACTCACCTTACTGTTTCCCAGAAGCTGATTGCTGCAAGTATGTGTGCACAAGCTACCTTTGCAAATGATGAGAGAATTGCTGGTGAAAAGCTTTTTCTGAAAAACTCTGAAAATTGAAGGAATGAAAATGAAGCAAACTTCCAGTCCAAAGACTTTTGCCTGCTTAGTACACAGTGTTCTCATGACTATACCACTTGTTTGTAGAATTTTAGAAGCAACGAGAACAAGAGGACGACGTTAATACAGCTCTGTGTACACATTTGAAATTCTGTTGTTGTTGCCTTTGGCCGAGTCTCACGCAAATCGTGGAATTTTCTTACACCCTAGCCAGGAGGAACAGGTTGAAAGGTGTGCTCCGTGTTTGTTTTTATTCATATTTTAGCTCACCCAATGCTCCTCTCAGCCCAAGCATCGTCCAGAGTCTTCCTTCTCGATGAGATGAATGTTACATGTAGTTATGCCGGCTTCCCGTTGCCTGATATCATGATAAGTGCACCAGGTCTTACTTCTATGCAGGTTACAGCTATGACTACATCAAAGACAGGTTAGTCGCCACCTGCAGAACGACACCTTAGATGAGAGACGGTATGGCATGCCAACAAATTTCAAAATCTATTTTAACTGACACTGTTGGATGCCAATGCAAATCTGGGAAATGTAAGACATCACGATGCCATGAATTTCGTAGCATGTGGTCCATACTTTCAAGTGTCCTCAGTGTGAGTTACGTACCAGTACTCGAGTCCTGGTGGTGAGAGTCAATTTTTCTTTCAGTCTTTTCCCTTTTCCATTTCCTCCAGTGAATATTACAACACCTCAGAACTTTTTTTCCATTCAGTGAACTATTAATTTTCCAATTGCATCGGCTCTATTCATTGTCAGAGCTTGAACCAAATGTTATCCATGCAAATAATAATATTACTAAATGGGTCCGGTATACGATTTGCGAGGAGATGAACTTACATCCCAGTTGATCTGGGATGAAGACCTGACTTTGCATGGGAAACTGACCATATGGACTAGTATTTATTCGCGTTTATAGAAGCTTATGTTTTCTGGAACCCAATTCATCAGTGGATCCGATTTGGTCATCTCCAATCATTTTTAATAGATTCAAAAATGCCACGATCCTGGTTTGCTGATATTTCGTTGAAGTTGGTACAGCAGAGGACCAATGCTAGTTCGTGGCAGCACTGAGTTCCGTGCTATTAACACAGCATTCATCAGGCAACAAACATCATTTTTGCATTTATACTTTCTGCAGGTTACCTATCCGGTGGTCTCCCATATCGTACAACAACATTGATCATCACAAACTCAAGGATATCGAATAATGGCACCTACTCATGCACTGGATCAACACCGTTGGGTCAAGAATCCAAATCACTCTTTGTTTTGGTCGTTGTCAAAGGTAAGTGACAATTGGAACAGATGCTGAAAACATTGATAAGAGCACTGTCTTAGGTTCCATAAGTTTTCGAAGCCTGTACAAAATGCAGTTTGTATTGTCTGATCAACTTTCCATGCATTGCATGTTGATCATTTCGCCCGCAAATAAAATAGTAATCTGTTGTGTTTCAATGGCTTTTAAAGTTAAAGGTTTGATAAAGGAGAGTGCCCAATTGTCATTTCCAAGATCATGGTCATTGCTGGAGGTGGGCAGTCAGACACCAGTTGCAGCTAAGCCTTAAAACCAGAACCGGCGGACGCAGTTTGTATTTTGTCCAGCCTTTTGGTAACCTGTCATACTTTGAGAGTGATAATAATGGTGGGTGCACAATACCTCCCCAGTATGGAACACAATTTAGAGGCCGTCAATGTCCTGACCCAGCTGAACGGTTTTGCCGGACCGTGTACTACAACAACCACTGATCCAAACCCGATAGTTAATGTCCTTTAGGACAAGGCATTCTCCTATTTTCTCTTGATAGTTCTAAACAAATTCCCAAGCAAACCCTCTTGCATACACTGCATACTTTTTTATTTTCATTGCATATCTAGATAACGGTCAACCTCCAAGAGCAGCTGCAGTGAACGGAAACATTACTGCCATACAGAACGAGCCGTTCACACTGTCGGTTAACCTTCTAGATCCTGGAGCACCAGCTGTCACGAAATCTGGAATTTCCTGGTTAAAGGTAAGAATGTCTAGTGGCATAATCTCACCTTACCTTGTGATAATTGGCAAGCTAGCAGTGAAACTATTGCACTTCTTGGTCACTTGTTAAACTGTACTTGCATAAATTCGATTATACATCACGCCATCAAACAGTTCCTAGGAGAATTCCGCAGTTCTCATTATAATAACCTTATTCTAACTCAGTTTTTGGGTTCTTTATACTTCTCGACAAGCATATGACAGAACAAAAAGAGGCAAATCGCCTTTTCCGCAAACAAATCAGGTAAACTTACCCATTAATCAATCGCCCTGAATTGTCGACTCTTCGAAGTCGGTGACTCCTGTGTGCAAGGTGAGCAGCTTCACACCTCAGAGCTAGGATTTACCCTTCAGCTAGCAACAAGAGTGAATAAGCAAGAGTGTGTCACTCCCCTTGGGTTGGTGCGCGGCAGAGTTTTTTTTGTTGACGTCACGTTTTCTGGAGATCAAGTGTCATACCGTAAGATGCATGCACTGCGAGTCTGCAGCCGCGTGAACTCAACAGGGTTTCACTACATTTACAAAAGCCGGGAAGTGACAGAAAAAGTTTAAGTTTCGTTTGGAAAGTGGAAAACACGAACACACCATGAAAATCGTCTTCCAGCATCAATCCAATGCCGGAAGTACTTTGTACACCATTCGTCATGCGTTCTGAAAAAGGTATCTACAACAAAAAATATCCACTGTGGACCATACAATGTGCCAGCTTGGAGTTGCACGCTCCTGTTAACTAACTACTCTTGCTAGCAGGGATATCCCCTACACCAAATAGGGACATCCCCGCACCAAGTAGGGACATCCCCTCACCGAGTACCAAGGTGTTTAGAGTGTGATCCAACACAGAAGTTGGAATACGCACCTTCAAAAAATCTCCCGTTGCTATTACCTTCTGGTGTTTTCGACCTTGTCTTGAGTTGGCCTTGTGTCTCTTGTCTCTGCTATCCAAACAATGCACGTAGAACAAGTGACTGTTAGATACTCTTCTTGATCTCTCAGTAGAATACCAGGAGATTCGATTTCTTTCTAAACTATGCACGCACCCCACTGTTTTTGAACCCTCGCTTTTCATTGACTGTGTTTTCCCACAACATGTTATATACTACTTTCTTCACATGTTATGACACCTTTTCCCCGGCCTGTCTCCTACGATTGCTTTGCAGGCTGGAAGCACGGCCTGGTCAACTTCTGTTGACCGCTATCAGTCCTCGGATCATCTTAAAGTTAGAATACCAAGTGCCGGATACCAAGATGAGGGCCAATATATTGTGTCTCTAGGCAACTCGGCTGGTTCGGTGGATGTTTCCTTCTTTGTAACATATGAAGGTACACTCAACATCATGAAATCCATTACAATTATAATTATTCCTGAAGCTATGCAAAAGACAGTACTCTAGCAGCGTCTGGCGCTAGGCAGGGTGCACACCACTTTTTTTCGTATCTTTGTGCGTATGCGTGTGTGTGTGTGTGTTTTGTGTGGGTGTGGGTGTTTTTTTCGTTGGGCTTGCCTGGCGCTAACCCGTACATATCGCGTGCTGTATCATCAAAGACAAGTGGCACCATATTCAAATAGGGCTTTCAACTGCAGGATCATAACTTCAACCAACTTGGAAGAAAGTGCACGTAGGCAAAGTGGACGGAAAGAATTCATGCAGGGCGACAGTGAGGAATTCCATTCCATTTCATTTGTTGAAAATACAGGACAAATGAAAAATATAATTATATAGAAACTAGCATCCTAACACCTAGCTTGCTATCATGCAGATCTATGCTTTGTGTTTTACCTTGGTCGTCATGTGTGTTATTCGAATGGATAGAAATGTCTATGCAATTCGATTAGCTGGCACATGTTTTTGTATTTTAAAGACTTTTCTATCAGATCGAATAACACTGATGGTGACCTAGATTAAAAAAAGGAAAAGCGAGGGCACTCAAGCCCTTTCGTATAAAAAATATTTTTCGCATAGATTAATGAACCTTATTTCATCATGATTTGTTATGGAAGAGTAGAAAGCGCAAGAGATTTCTGCACCCCATTTTTATGATTCCAGGAAAACAGTGCATTCCAGTCTGAGACAGGAAAGTTCAGGGGGAGGGATATAACCCCAATGCTGTAGACAGCTACCTCACCTGTTTCAGCCATCTTTGTCTCATCAGACGGCTCCGAGAATGGAGAATTTTACGACACAACACTCTTTTTTCCGATTCATACCAGAATAATTGTTTGCCAGAGGATTGTGCAAGCATGAAACTCTGACTTGCAATAACATCTTATTCCAACATAGATGTCTTTTAATATACCTCCTGCAGGCACAGATACACACACACGCTCAAATGTATGCATGCACGCACACGCTCTTAACACTTACACAGTTCATGATGACTGCTTCCACTTGTTTACTCCTTTTTACACAAGGGAATGGTCTCAAACTTTTACTCCTTTTTAAAATATATTGCATGGCCTTCTGTTGATACCTTCACTGTTCATCAGGTGGGGAATTGGAAAAGGAAAAGGTTTGAAGAAAACACTTTGACTGTTCTTGGTTTTTTTTCGCAGAGAGGCCCGATGTGTTACTTGCACCAAGCACTGCTCGAGTGAATCAGTTCTCCACTGCAGCACTAATTTGCATCGGAACAGGGAAACCGAAGCCGAATGTATATTGGCGAAAAAATGGGACCAGGTTTAAAACTCTTCAATCTGTTTCTCAATATACCGATGCGAACATAATCAAGCGGGGAAGCTTTGCTGTGAAATCAACTCTTACAATCCCATCTGTAAAGAACAATGTTGACCAAGGCCAGTATGAATGTGTCGTCGAGAATATCCACCAACCAAATGCCAAGGCCTCGGCATATGTATTTGTCTACGGTAAGTTATGCCAGTCCCGTTCATTACAGTTAGTACTTTAAAAGGCATTCTCAAAGAGAAGAAAAACTGCAGAGATAGATCCCTTGATCACAGCAGCTTACTTCGACCAAGTTGATGTCAACTGAAAGTCACGTTGTGTTGCAGCGTCAAGATTTTACTTTTCTTTGTCCTTCTTTGCTTTCACCCTGCAGTGCCACCTGTACTCCTGTCCCAAACACCTGACCTGTCTGCTCTTGCTGGAAAGACAGTGACTCTCGTTTGCCAAGCCTTTGGCATACCGAAGCCCATAATAACATGGTTCATGAATGGAGTGGTCAGTGGAGCATTATTATTTCTTTGCTTTGACAAATTCATGTACAGTTAGTTGTTCTTTTGCAGCAAGTGTCGAAATAGAACACCTACTAACATCAAACATCGTCTGCACCAAGGTGTAATGGTAATAAGTACTGAAAAGTTGCAATATGTTCTGATCGATTTTCATCCGACCATATTCAGGAAATCTGCCAGAACTGTCAGTGATGCTGAAGATAACGATAATTTGTATATTATAGTGATACCTGTTAGAGCACTGAAAATGGTGGCGGTATTTGAAAGATAAGTAGAAGTGGGTGAGTTCAATGTCCACCTTGCCAGTTCCATTCTGTGCTATGATAGAATAGTTTTCCTCACTTCGCCTATTCGTGTACCAGAACCGACCCTCATGCTAACATCGCATATGTCACTGTCGTTGTGCTCTTCACTACATAGCTGCTTCAACAAGATGATCTGGTAGGTAGAGTGTCGTTCTACCAAGGAGACCACATCTTGACAATCTACAGAGCAGAGGTAACAGACAGTAACGACTATCATTGCCGGGCAAGCAATGAGGATAAATACGCTGGTGGCGAGATTACGGGAAATCCAGCAATGTTGGATGTCGAAGGTGAGGAATGTGGATTCTCAGTCCCCGGAATCGTAAATAGAAATTCACCGGAGAATGGAACAATCCTGCTTTGGAGCTATGTGTTGACTGTGATGCGACAGGCATGGTTGAAGATACACTCATAATAATATTGTTCCTATCCGGGACATCTGGGACAAGGCCCCCTCCATACTTTTGGAATGTCCACACCTCTGAATCACATACACTTCTGCAGGAAAGAGCCAAAGATCTGGCATATGATGTCGCTAATACATTGCCATGCGATCACTAGATACTTACAGATGGCAAAAGCAGAAAAAGTCATTTTGTGAAAAAATCACCCTGGGGTTCACTTGCGCAGAGAGTGGGCCAAAATGATAATGAAAACCATATTTACTAAGCATGCCTGCAAAAAACGCAGAACACACGATTATCGATGCAGCCAGCCTACAATTCATGCAAGCGGCATTGATCAAGAAATGATGAGCGTGCTCGGCGGCGCAAATAAGATGCCCTGCATCCACGGAAACACATCACAAACCATTTCAAGATCAAGAATGAAATACAGCAACTCAACCTTGCCCTGTAGCCCTTTCCCAAAGGTGCTCACCCTTTTTGGCCCTTTTGGAAAAGCCCGCTTCTTTCGCCCTTTATTGAGTTTTTTGGTGAATATCGCCGTTTTTGAGCTTTTTTAGCTGAAAAGTGCTAAAATCTGTTTGCTCATGCATGCGATCACGGTTTCCGAGTGCTCGATGGGCCTTGGCACGCCGCTTTTTTGGGGGGGGGGGGCAATAAGTTGGTGAAGATTGCTCCGGTGTACACAATGCTGTAAAAAGTGTTTTTTTTTAAACTTTACTTCCTGTTTTGCCTTTCGTGGACCAATAAATGGAAGACTGCATATTCATTTCTCAGCGTGGGTTCATATCTGAACATATTATCATGTTTATGCTTCACTGAAAAAAGAGCACTTTTTGACCGTTTTCACTGAAAAAAGAGCTCTTTTTCAGCATATTTTGAGGGACGCGAAAAGCACTAAATGCGAATTAAAAGAGCACCTTTGGGAAAGGGCTATCGCCCTGACACTTGAATAATGTAAATCAGGATATTTGCTGTTATTAGGGAACCCAATTCTTGCTCCACATATACTGGCTGTTTAGGACTCTTTCCCTTTCGGTGAAGACTGTATTAAATTCTAATTGTTCGAACTCTGGTGTAGTGAACTGACACTCGGAAAACAACATGCAGACATGGAACACAACTAAAAATGCAGAGAATGAAACCAGGAAAACGCAAAGGCAAACAACAACCACAACTGTGACTAATCTGGGCAAGAAGCTAACCACCCTTCTCTCAAACTTGACAAACTCTCTCTCAAATCGCTGTCCTCAGCAAAACGTGCCCGCGTGCGTGCATTGGCTTGCGCCGCATGCATGTACACAACGACGTGGCATAGAGAGAAAATGCAGCGTACAGAAAATGCATGAATCATCGTAGCCATAGAGATACTAATTATGGCGACTGCCAAAGTCCGCGTGCACGTGCAGCGCGGAGTGCAGGTGCAACAAAAAGAAAAGCAATAATAATTTGAATGCAGAACAAAACAGAAACTAGCAATCTGCTGAAGTGAAAGACTAAAGAATTGGAAAACAGTGTCTGTCAAGGGGTGCTTGCACCCAGCGACAGGGTGACAGCACACCCTGTCAGCGAGAGTAAGTTTCGCCAAGTAGATCGTAGCGGAGTTGCCGCGGATGGCGATAATGCAACGGATCAAGTACTAGTAAGTACATGTACATTGCAACCAAATTAGTGTGTCAACAATTCTACTTATAATAAATTAGCACGATTCACAAGATATTCCGCTCGTGAACATGTCGTGGTACGAACACGCATAGCAATTACTGTATCGTAAAATGTGTCGACGTAGACGTAACAGATATGCACTCGTGATGTAACAGATCTAACAGACTAACAAATAAATATGACACTCGCGAAATGCATAGCAGTAATACGCACTGCACCAATATTGCAAGCGACCTAGCAGGTCTTAACAATACTGCCCTTGCAGCATGTGACAGTTCTGTACACAAATCGTAACTACAATACACTAATAGTATCAACGTGCAACATGTGACATGTGATAGTTCTGTACACTGCAATAGCGACAACACACGAAGTGAAGGGTAATTGACCACAGCCAGATGTGAACCGCATAACGAGTTACAGTAGGTATGGAAGCAACGACTGAGAACAAAGTTTTTTAGATAGAATAGGCATGCCAGTGGATAGCAGAAATAGGCCATGATGCAGAACCACTTGGGACCGTCAGATTAATTTACCTGGACCGAGCCAGCGGAGAAAAGCCTCGCGCCGACGGACACAGTTGTGAGGGAAAAACCGGGTGTATATCCCCAATGGCGATTAGGCATCATGTAGGCATGGCAAAAACATCATGGCAAAAAGGGATAAAAAGCAATGATAATAATTATTTCGAAAGAAAGGTGTCAGCACCGACGCAATGTACACAGTCCGGTAAGCCAATTTATTAACCAGACGTTTTCGTTCCCTTCTCATCATGGGTAAATACAGGGAATAATAGAAAAATGTCAAATACAGCAACTTATAAAGCAAAAGCATAGATTGAGAACTCACGCTTTACGTGTGGAAAAAATTAAATTCAGCTGAACAAGTCAACAACAGGCGGAGGGTGAAGGTGAAGAAATGACTAAAACATAATGAAAACATAAATCAGAAGAAGCATTGCTGACACTTTCACGAAGATTAGCACCAAACACCAGAAGCGACAAAACATTTTCCTTCTGGTTTCTTTTTAAAAGATGCATTTTTCACAATTGGTCAACCTGCAAACAGCAATTCATATCCAAACCATATTCCTCCTTCTTGAACTTGCAGCTGCACCATCTATCAATCCTCCAATACCGAAAACTCTGGTCTCCTTCGAAGGATCGTCATTATCTGTTTCTTGCCTTTACACTGGACATCCAAAACCGACGGCACGGTGGTGTTACCTGCGAGACGGTATGTGCATTGCAGAACCACCAGCTTGTCCTGGACTCACTACTGCCGAAGCCGACAACACTTCTCTGGTGCTAACCATACCGACATTGCGCCAGTGCAACAATGGTGTGTATGTGTGCACAGTAAATAACTCAGTGGGCAGCACCACAGCACAGTCTGTGCTAAGAGTACAAGGTACGAAACATTCTGCACGACATACACCTTATCATCCTTAGGTTTAAAGAAATTGTCTTTTTGCTCCAGTTTCTTAACAGATTTTTTTAATGGACTCGGATGGAGAGCCAAGAATTAATTCATAGGAAAGGAAAAGGATCAACTGGTGTTCGTGGACATTATAGCGTAACTTGTAGTTCCTTCGTACTTTTTCTTTTCTATAGATTTTTTAATCTTGATTTCAGAATCAAGATGAAAAAACAAAGTTTCCATTCATTCCTGCAAATTAATGAACATGTGAAGACAAAAATGTTACCAAATGTAGCCGTTCATTTGGGGACAGAAAAGAAGAGGAAAAATTGTACTGAAGATTTCAGGATTGAGTGATTGAATACTACATGGATGCAAAACATATGTGCAAAGCAAACATGTAAAATGGAATGAGAACGATTTTGTGACAATCAGAAATTTGTGGATTATATTTCCTCGATACTTCCAATCTTTACACATTCAGGAATGTCCTATAGTAACAACGAGAGAGATGGACTACCGTACATGTTCTCCTTTTGTCAAACATCGTGTCTTAGAAGGTATAATTTTAACCCAAGGACTTCAGTTTCTATACATATTTTCAAAACGAATCCCGAGAGTATCACCTCTAAGCCCTGTGGAATCCAATGGCCCCTCTGGGAATTCTAGGGTAGCTGAAACGATGGTAGCTCTAGGGTTAATCCAAATCCGTTTTTCCTGTTCTATCAAGGTGTTGCTCATATCGGTGTTCGAGGTGAGTTCTCGTTGGCAGGTGGCCAAGTTCCAGTTGGTCACGATCAGATTCAAGCTCTGTTCGATGAACAGGTGAGAGCCACTCAAAGGGCTGTAAACATCCATCTTGCATGACTGACTAGATTCGTAATGAGCCTTCTGCTTTTCTGCAAAAGTTCTTGCCAAATCCATATTTTCCCTAGCCAGAGAGCATGATTAACCCTTTAAATCCGAACGTATGGATTATTCGTACCAGTATGAAGAGTAAATACTCATGATTTCTGATGATTAGGGAGGTTTAGTCCGGATACGGGAACGCAAAGTTCCTGCAATGGATCCACGTTCACAATGTTTCTACTTCTGAAGTAGTCACACGGAACAAACAAAAGCATGAAGCGAAAGGCCCGAACTTGGTCAAAGAAGAAGCTCATCGAATATTTTGACTTCAGGCTTCGGAAACTTCTTCAGCTGAGTACCCTCACAGCTTGCACAATGCACTTCATTCTGATTTTCATCCTTGTTCTGGCGGAACGAGGGTGAGCCTCCATACACGGTATGTCGTGAATCAGAAAGCGTCTGTACGTGAGTCTCTGAGTATCACGTGGTACACACACGTAAAGTACGCACGGATTACGCGGGTCTAAACCTCCCTGGTATCACATGAAAACGACGTTCAAACCTTAAAATATTGTTCCATTGTTCTCGTGGTATGAGAGCGCTCAATTTACTTCCACTAATGTTAGGTTTCTTGTCTCAAGCGACGAAATATTAACAGTCCGAGCTAGTTAGACGCTGCAAACTCAACAAATGCTTTGCATCTTTGATTTGGTTATGAAATTAGTTTTTTTCCTTTTGTGTTGCTATTACGGTGTCGTTACAGGTGACTTCAATTTTGTTTCCAGGACGTGTTGAAGTCGAGTTTTTCCGGAGCACATATGAACAGCGGCAAAGGTTAGCCTCTTGAAATTTCCAATAGTTTGAGGAAAAGACGCAAATGGGAAAAGTCTGAAGAAAAAATTGACTGTCACCACCAGAACTCAAACCAGGAACCCTTGCTTGAGGCCAGCGATGCTCTAACCACTGAGCTATGGTGTAGTCATTATCCCAGCAGAGACCGTTGAAATTTGAAATTAAATTTGCATATGAAGTAACTTGTTCTCTGTACTGCCACTACATTTCAAACTGATACATTGTCCTGAATTATGATCATAAAGTACTGCAGGAAAGACCATGTGTGCTCACAATTTCTCATCGAGTTTTGGAGCTGCAGGATTCAGTAACTTCTCGGTGTCCTCGGGTAAAGGTCATTTTATAAAATAGAAATGGTACGAAATAGTGTTGATATCACTTTCGTACTATTTGAGTGATAAATTAGCTGGACAACAGTTTATTGTTGCTGACAGGAAGGCAGGAAAGACAGTTAACGTTGAGGTATGTCATGCTTGTGATAGAACACCTGGCTATGTATCTTTGTTCTTCCCACCGCAGCCGTCTGGAGGTGATGGCCGACATGACTGCATCAGCTGGCTACATCGCAGAGATATCGGGCAACAACAGCGTCACCAACTTGCAATCAAACTTCACAGATGCCTTGCTCAACTCTACATCCTCCCTCAAGCTTGTTCCGTTGAGTCTGAAGGTATACGCATATGGTGAGAAAGACTCCTGAGATCTAGATAAGAACAGTTTGGGAGTCAACCTGTGGCCTCATCCTTTCAGTCTTGGTTTAGCTACAATACCAGTTTGCTAAAGATGTTTGACCTCACACTTGCCTGCTGACTTTATTTGACCATTTCGTCATTCATGACAGCCCTCCAAAGCACCCAGGAAGCCCAGCAGGCCTGCAACTTAGCAAGTCAGAAGACAGCATTACTCGATGCTCAATACACAATGTTTCGGGGCCATTGTCAGTTCGGTTTGCATAGGATGAGAAAATTGTGCCTCTTAGTCATGTACAAAGATGACAGGGGATACAAACTTACAGGAAGACTTGGCTACAGTGCAACAACACTTTACGGACGTCAGACAATATGCAATTCCCTGCTCAATACAATGCGTGTCATGTTTCTGTTTTTCTAGCCCCGTCTCCAATAGTGGTATTTGGGGGGGGGGGGGCATTTTGGGCACAGCTGAGCAACATCTTTAAAATAATTATAGTCTGACATCAGAAAACAGTTTGTTTTGTGTAATCTGTTTTACCTATGACTAGATATCTGCAGTCCGGAGGAAACAAATGAAGGGGAACGAGGAAGGTTATATTGGTCTGAAACATTTATCAATGAGATAAGGACCGAGCCTTGCCCAGTGATATTGTTGGACGATGTCACGCGATACGCAACCCGATATTGCATGTCTGTGCCACGTCCACATAACAGCACTTTACAGATGGCGGAATGGGCAGAACCAAACGTAGCAGCATGCCCAACGCCTAACACAGCGAAACTTCAACAGCTCTCCAAGGTATGTAGTCCATTTAAAAAAAGTGGTTGGTATCCTTGAGAATTTCATAAAACCGTTCATTCAAATGTATTATGCAGTCATTCGTGGTGAAGGTGTTCTCCCACAAAAGGAGTTCAAAAGTCCTCATTTCACATACTCCCGGATGTATGGAAGAAATGTTTGTCGTCCACGGAGCATTCGAGTTCTCAGAAAGATAATTGCATGGCGCAAACGATTGTGTGAATTTTTTAGAATCGTAGTAACCAGTATGCTGCAATACACTTCAATAATTGGTACGCTTGATATTGGAGTACCATCCTCTCATTGATGATGGGCCAGGCCAAGAAACATTTGTGTAATGTAAATTTGAACTCGAGAAGCGAAGTTTCCTAAACGTGTAAACGGCTGCATTGGAGTTTGCGAACAGATAGGAAAGACCATTCTCTCCATTAGAATATCAGCTGAGTATTTATTAGGTCTCGAATCTCTGGCAGATTGCTCTCGATGGCATGGGAGTTGCATTTCTCATAACTTTCCATCTTAGCTAACATCCAATGTCTTTCTCATTGTCCAGTGTTCTTGCTGTCCTGGTGGACGCATTTGAGCATGCTCTAATATGCAGATTATAAATTCTACGATAGACTACCAGATTTCTCTTTATTAGTTGCAGGTGCATTCCCCAGCCTTCTTCAGTCGTTGGCCTAACTACATTGTAGTAGAAATAAAACATAAATGTGAATTTTCCTCGAATTCTTTTGGTGCACCTGTCCAGACGGAGTTCAATACAAGTGTTCCTGAGTCAGTGCTGGACAGCTCTCTAGCTGTCACTAGCCTCACCAATGATAGCTCTCTGCTCAACAGTGATGATATCGACTTTGCAGCTACCACCATATTCAACTTGGTGTCAGCTGTGAGCAGAGATGAAGGCTTCGACCAAATTGTCGGCAAAAAGGTATTATTACTTGTATCAACAAACCATGTTTGTACAATGTGTGTGTGTGTGGGGGGGGGGTGTAAGGTATTGTTAAGCTCCCAATTCAGTCTAACAACGTATTGTCCTCTAGATTCTTGTGGACAGCTTACGCATGCATGACTATTGTACTATTCTAAGAATTGGAACTCGTTTAAAAAAATGTTATATACCAATTGTTCACCATCATTTTTGGGCATTGCAGCTTGTCTCGAACCAGGTAAGTCAGACTAGTCTAACTGCTTTCAGCAGTTTTTTACATGAAATATTACTCAGAGAAATGAGCCAACTATTATAGTGTGTTACGGTAGCTGTGAGGGCATGGCATCGGCTTCAAGGGAAATAACAAGTGGGACTTGTTTCTTTTGCTAGTTTGCCCGGTCAACACTGGATTGTGTGGATAATATTCTCAACGTCAAGTCAGAGGAAACAGTAGTAGCATCACTGCCAGCCAAAAGGTAATTAAGTGCAGATCGTAACTCAGAAACACACTCACACACATGCACACACAGGCTTCAAATGCATAAACAACACAAACAATATCCGAATAATATGCTAGCTTGACACTGACAAAGAACAGCACTGCATAACGCACGCACTGCAATTACGCACATGAAGAACACAATAGAGATCGCACAGAGAACACACAGAACGGACAGAGAGCACACAGAAAACACACAGACCGCTCACCACTGCCTGCTATCTTCCGAACATCCAATGCTGTAGACAACTAGATGTTTCGGCCATCTAGGCCCGATCAGCACAGCTAAATTGCAGCGTTCGCGGGACATGCTGGTGACTGCAGTGTGTCAGGACATGAATACAGACACACATATCATATACACCCACCCACACCTAGATATACATACGCACACACACGCACACGCACACGCACACGCACACGCACGCACACGCACGCGCACACACACACATACACTCAAACAAACATGCACGCGCACAAACACCATGTACCGTATAATATACGCACGTCTCAAGAGAAGCACGCAAATCTGAAAATGCACTGGATATGCACCCACAGATTTTCTCTGTATAGCAACGATAGTGGATCTGATTCTGATTGAAACAGATCAAGACAAGCGCCAGGAAACTGTCTAATTCACACAACTGGCGAAGCCATGTGAATCAACCCCCAATTCACACCTGGTCTACACCACACGGAGGACATGCGAATAGGACGGCCAAGACGGCTACCTATGCACACCCTACACTTGCTAGGGTAACCAGTATAGACAGCACTCTGCTTTAAAAAAGCAGACACTAGATGCACTGGTACCTTGTAGTGAAATTGGAGCAAACACACACACACACATACACACACACACACACACACATACACATACACATACACACACACAATCAGTGGATCAATGAGATTAGTCCTAATGTGAATGTCCAAATGATGTTTGTTACAATTCCGACATTGACTCGTTGCTTTTTGATTACAGGATTGCAAAATCGATGGAACGGCTTGTAACAACTCTTGCTGTTGAAGCGGGCGAAACACTACAAGACCAAAAGGAGAACATTGGATTTGCAGTAAGCTGCCCAAAAGAGAACGCAAGAAACCAGGTTTTCCGCTCTGCAGGCCATATTCCAGGTGGAGGCTTCTACATAGGGGAGTCCACTTCTCCTGCATCAGGTAAGCTATATTTCGAGACTGGGATTCTGCACGTGTAAGAATGGGTATTGACATCAACACAGCATGTCTGACAATACCAAAGTATGTGTACAAGTCGATCTATTCGATTTCGGTCAAAATTTACAGGTACTTCAGAGTAGGTTTACTTTGGAGTGTAGATCGATTGTGCAAAGCCCTTGAAAAAGCTGAAGGGTACCTTCAAACTTGCATACCCCTTACAAATGGCAGAAATATCACATTATGTATGGGTCTACAAAGGAGTCACACCACAGCATATACAAACAAGCTATGAACAAAATTTAATTATCTTTCTCTCTTTCTCCAACTCTCTTTCCCCCCCCCCCCCGTCTCTCTCTCTCCCTCCCTCCGTTGCTCTCTCTTGCACTATCTCGTTGTCTCTCTCTCTCCCTCTCTCTCTCTATCTCTCTCTCTCTTTCTCTCTCTCTCTCTGTCTGTCTTTCGTTCTCTCTCTCTCTCTCTCCGTCCCTCTCCCCGTCCCTCTCTCACTATCTCGTTCTCTCTCCACCTTTCTGTCTTTCTCCCTGTTTCTCTTTCTCTCTATCTCTCTCTACGTCTTTTGGATGCTGATTCTTTGACCGTATGATGGTGGTGGTGTTCTTATGGGTGACGAAATCGCAGTCTCCCTGAGTGTAACGTGAACAATAGATTGTTTTTCACGTGGCTGATTTGCTATGTTAGTGAATCGTTGAACAATATTCCAAGCAGAGTTGCACTATGTTCTTATGTGTGTCTTTGCATTGCAGAGAGCAGATCCAGCGTGGCCTTTGACATCGCCGCCAGCACAATCAGCAAAGCGACTGACTTGATATCTCTGTCGAACCAGTCACTCTGCAACTTGGCTTCAACACAGTATATACTGTACAAAACGTCAGCTCTCTTCCAAGACTCCAATCTTAGTGTGAACACTTCAGTCAGTTCAGAGATAATCTCAGCCCAAGTTGGTGGTGTACGACTGAATAATCTGAAACAACCAGCCCTGATGTCCTTCGAGCTGCTGGCTACAGCAGATGCTGTAAGAATCCTACCTTTGAATATGTGTGTTTGAACATTTGTGTTTGAACATTTTTTCCAGGAATTCAATGAGATAATCTCTTCACCCATAAGCGATGGCAGCATGGAAGCCGGTCCCCTGGGCTCCTTTGTACTGAAGTTTTTCATTTCCTGTGAGACATAGAGAGCCATAGACTCGTTATAGCGACTTTGAACCTGTCACCTGCCCAAGTTATGAACCGCTACGGTGTAATACGAATCGCAACTAGAATAATGTTATTATTATAGCATCCAGAGCGCTGAACACATTCAGTTTCCTGATTGAAAATAATTTTTTGTATCATGTAACTCAGCACCTTTCCAATCACTATACCCTTACTTGAATCTATCCTCGAACGAGGCCGCGGGTGGACCTAATTGATCCACTCACTTGAATGCGGCAATGCTTTATAATACTGATAATATGACGAGTTTGCATGAGAGGCAAAGGGTAGGTGTTTGTCAATGCATGTAGGTTCTAAGATGAGATATGATGTAGGCAAAAGAAAACTGAATAGTTGTACAATGTTACAGTGATGGAGAGTTACTCTTAACTCGTTTCCATATGTCCTTTATCCTTCCTACAGTTGGACAATGAAGGATGATTTTGTTTATTTCACTTATCAATACATGTATGTGTCTGTGCTCCTTCTCAGGGTGTGGATGATGTCTTTGAGTGTGTCTTCTGGGACTTCGATAAAGGTATAAATATTACATCTATCAGCGTCGGTTTTTCAGAAGTCTGGAGCCGAATTTGCAGGATTGCATTGTGCACTTTGCTCAAGAAGTAATAATTTTAAGATCTCTACAAAGTATCATGGTGCAAAGGCCGGCAAAAAGGCAGGGAGGCAGGTGGCGATGGCAGCCGGAGCAGTGGAACCGGCCGGAAACACACACACACACACACACACACACACACACACACACACACACACACACACCTTGACCTTGACCTTGATCTTGCCCATTGCGTACGCGATGATAGCGAATGTCGGAAAGTTCAAGTGGTAACACGAGCGCAGAACTTGGCATGTCATTTCAGGTCTCCTGGTCGACGAAACGGGCGTCCACAGACACAGAGAAGAGGATCAGGAGCGGGCCATGGCGGTGGGGTGCTACTCGCAACTCGTTTCTAGCCGGGACGATCTTGGCAACTCTCAAGCCAGGTGGTCACGCCGAGGTCCGCCTGGTCAGTCGACACCACATCTCGCCACCTCTTCTTCGGGCCATGACGAGGACGGGGGCAGGCAGTTTGCCGAACAGTAATTGCTTCGGTGTGCGCGAGTCGTCCACCCTGCTGACATGGCCCACACACACATTGGCAAAAAGGCACAGGGAGGCATGTAGCGATGGCAGCCGAAGCTGTGGAAGGGGGGGGGGGGGTAGAAACCCACACAACTGCAGGTATCCGCATGCAAACATATTATATGATTACATGCATGCACACACTGACACACACACACATGCACACACACGCACACACACAAACACACACACGCACACACACACACACACAATGATGATGATGTCAAAGATGAGGAGGATGAGGAAAGTTATGGCTATGAAACCCCATAGACAGCACATGCATTATAACACACACACACACAACAATAACATAAACAGGTCGCATATTGCCTGCATAAACAAATCAAATGGGGTCATGCATCTGTCAATGATCGTTAACCAGAGTTTCTTGTTGGTGGCGAGGTTGAGGCATTCCTGAATCGGCACATTCAGAGGCTTGAGGTCTTCTTTGATGTTGTCGACCCATCTTGTGAGATCGTCCACGGGGGCGCCTGATGTCCAAATTCTTGAGGGCTAGCTGCAGTGCCTTGTAAGAGTCCGGTCCTTCCCGCGCAATGTGCCCCAGCCACAGGAGGCGCCGCTCACATGCATTATATATATATCTGTTGATATCTTGTCAATGGTCGTACTAAAGTTATTGATCTCTTGTCTGGATATTAGATAGTTCTCTCAAATTCAGGCTAAGCATTTTACTCCGGATGTGCATGGAATGGCCAAATTGCTGGTAATTAATGGGTGTTGGTCATCATACTCAGATATGCGTTAACTCCGCCAAAAAGAGTACAATAATTTCATCTAGAGGTAAATATGAAATTACACATGCAAGCATGCGGATGAACCCACTCATTTGCGTGTTTTGTTTGCTCAACCCTCATTAGATGATGGCAACGGTGGATGGAGCAACTTGGACTGCAATACAACACGTGATGGTGCAATGTGGAACAGGACCATTTGCCAGTGCAGTCACCTTACCAACTTTGCTGTGTTGCTTGTGAGTTTTACTGCTTGTGCTGAGAATTGGATGCTTTACGCGGCCATTTCTTGCAGCTTACACAGACTAACCTTATAATATCTCAAATGGGTTGTTGAGTAAATTCGTTGTCCGCCGAGTCTGGCTGACTGTGGAATACCGTTGTGTATGACGAGGTAGAAGAAATGCAGGAAAGAGAACGAGGAACCATGCGTGACAGAAGAGGACAGATCTTGATCTTTACAAAATTTGTAATAATGATTTACGTGCAACAAACGCATGTACGAAGTCACTACATTACACCTCCACCAGTGATAAAGTCGAGAGCAGTTCGCGAAGAACGCCGAACGGAAAAGATCTTGGAAAGAAAAAGTGAGCGAAGCACACAAAGCGGAAAGACGGGAAAGAAACTGTACAAAGAAAGCAAATACGCGTGAATGTGGAATACGGTGGTGTATGACACGTGGACACAAGGTCCGAATAATGGCTATGGGTAATACGATCATGTAGCCTATCAGTTCTAAATACATGCATGATGAGCTAGGCAAAAAAGCATAGCGTAGGGGCCTGAGTTGTCAAGCTCTCTCGGTCTTTGGTGCAGCTCTAGCGCTATGAGGTTTATGATTTCCCTTTTCTTAATTTCGTATTTAGCGCTTTTGGCATCATTATTTTCTTCTCATTGTTTCGCAGCAAGTTAACCTTTTTTGTGGCATTCTCTAGCTTCTGCTCGTTTTGCAGTCGTTTTTGTGCCCCCCCCCCCCCCGCCATCCATTTTACGATGCCTAGTTGCAACGCTGACGCTGAGACCTCTGGTCAGTTGAGTTGCTCCCAGCACATCGGTACGTCGGCCCTATATCCCCTATGTGTTGTATTTTTCCTTGTTTCTTTTTGTTTTCCGCCTGTTTTCCAGTGGAGCTGTGTTATTAGTAAAAAAAGAAAAAAATCATGTCCTGCATCATAATGGAGTCTCTGTACTTCCCTCTCCCCTCCTCTCTCTCATCTATCTCTCTATCTTCTATCTATCTTTCCATCCACTTATCTCAATTTCTACTGGTATCTATCTATCTCTCTGCGTGACCCTAGACACGGAAAATACCACTGGAGAAAACCGCTGCAGTGATTGGACTGAAATATGTGTCCATGGTCGGCTGTGGAATATCCATGGTCAGCCTTTTGGCCACACTCTTTGTTATTGCATATATACCGTAAGTACTGGAGTGCAATGTTCACAGTGCAATAAGTACTCAGATGGTGAGCCAAGGAAAATATATGTACTAAATGTAAACAAGGAAAACGGTGGGGCACAAGTTATGCGTTAGGGTCCAACAACTAAACTAAACGGTTTTGAACAGTCACAGACTCAGATGTGCACAAGGTAGCAACAGACCGACCGTTCTCCTTGTTTCCATTTGACACAGTACAACTGTGGAATATAGCTGGGTCGTTGCAATGCTGATTTTCATGCTTCTTAGAGGGGAAGTATACCCTAAAATCAAATTTTCACCAGCTGTAATCTACGGGGTGCTGAGTCGAATGGTCTTGGTCCGAGGAAGCTGAGACGCTCTTTTCCTCCTTTATTCCCAATCGAACTCGCTCACTTGTGACTGCGCCCTACTAGATAGGGATTTGCATGCAAAAAATGTCACTAAAACTCCGTTTCGTTCTTATAAAAGCACGGATAACCGCGATTGGTCCATATGTTGTAGTCTTTTGGCCACTGAGTAGACAGTTTTGGTCCGAAAAGGCTGCGATGCAGCGTTCGGCCCTTATTCCAAAAAGAACACAGTTGAGTAAGCAGTCACTTGCTCATGCGTACACTAGTCGCCTGGTCACCGTGCCTGCAGGCTACAATTTTCATACCAAGGTTCAACTCAAAAGTTCAAAGCAGGGAGTCGTAAGAGGCTTTTACGACTCCCTGGTACAAAGGTTCAACTCGGGTGATAGGAACGGGCCAAAACAGGCTGTAAATTGTATCCTGATGGCACGATGACCAGGTGACTTGTGTGTGCATGAGCACGTGACCGCTTACTCAGCCGTGTTTGATTGGACATGAGGGCCGAGTGCTCCATCGCAGCCTTTTCAGACCAAAACCAGTCGACTCAGCGGCCAAAATTCTACAACATATGGAACAATCGCGGTCAACCGTGCTTTTATAAGAATGAAACGGGGCTTTTAGTGACTTTTGCATACAAATCCCTATCTAGTAGGGCGCCGTCACCCAATGTCGGTGTAAGTGCGTGAGTTCGATTGGGAATAAAGGAGGAAGGGAGCGCATCAGCTTCCTCGGACCAAGACCATTCGACTTAGCACCCCGAAGACTACAACTGGTGAACATTTTATTTTAGGGTATACTTCCCCTTTAAATGCAATCATCAGGCAACAACTCTGCCTCTGTGCTAATCAGTACTTTCACATCACTGCACGCATCCTCCAGTAGGTAATATGAAATTATTTTATCAGTCTCTCAGAGTTGATACATTAATGCAGTGATGCAATGCTCATAGTGTCCCAGTTTCTGTGTATGCTCTATTTGGTGCCTTTAGCCACTTTGTTTTCAACTAGAATTCATTGCAGTTGGCCCAGCCAATCACTTTGCACTCCACTCATGACAATTGGTTTCATCCTTCATCTAACAATCGGAATTGCATTCTTCTCAAAAAACATTCGGCTTGTGAGAGGGAAAAGAAAGAGTGAAATAGGGGAGGTGACGTAGCTCGAGCAGAATTACTTTGCGATTATGATGTTGCCAAGGCAAAACTGTATTCTCCAAGTGACGAAGAGATGTGTTTGCATGGTTTTCTTTTGCCTCTCTTGGTTTCAGGAGACTGCGCAAAGGCGACCACCACCAAATGATCTTCGGCCTGTGCCTAACTCTATTTCTCTTTCTGGCAGTTTTCACATTCGCACTTTACAACCAGAAGTTGACGGAGAGTGTCGTAGGCTGCAAATTGGTGGCAGTAGTTTTCCAGGGACATGTACATGTATGATGATTACTGTACAATCATGTACAACTACATGTACATAAGTGTATACATAATAGGTGTGCTGGTAAATCCAACAATTTTGAAGCCAACAAAAAAGGAAGAAAAAGCCCCCCCCCCCCCCCCATTGGCTGCATTTTCTTGCATGTGTGCCTTTATAATAATATCCATCACCATAGGCATAGGTTCTGGTACTTCTGCATGACAGGTACATGTACATGTACTTGACTGACAGGTACTTGAAATAGCTGTCAAAAGCCCAGAAAGTCGTTATTCAAGCAGTGAATATGACCTCGGGGCACTAAAAGCATGTCGCTATACGCGAATTGTCGTTATTCAGATAGTCGTTATATCCGAAGTAAAATGTATACAGTTAGATGGGACTTTGCTCTGGGCATGGAAATTCGGTCGTTATTCGCGAATTGTCGTTATATCCGCAGTCGTTATTAGCGAAGTTGACTGTATCTTCTAATGTGTGCGTTCATGTGGATGTCAGTGGATGCAACCTTCCTCTACCGGAGCATTGTGATTGTGTTTGACCAGTCAGGATTGAGAGAAAAGCAGCTACTCCGTGCATCTATATTTGGCAAGTGTATTAGTCTATTTTGGGCCATTTCTGAGGGGTTTGGGCAATTTCACAGGTTTAAATCATCGTTCTGGGCTCTTACCAATCTACTTGCATAATTAAAGAAAAATCAGATAGATCGAATTTCAAGAATAATTATGTTGGTACATGGTATTACTCCAAAAAAATCATATCCAGGCTGCTTAGCTGCTTCGAACTGCAGTTTTACTTCGTTTTCAATGAACTTGTTGGTGTCGTTATCATTATAATTATAACCGTAGGTGTTCTCTGTTGCCGTGGGAATATCTGAGTTATACTGACTATTGGTTGGGATTTATTCCTGTGCTTCTGCTGTCTACAGTCGTACCATTCGTTATTGTTTGTGCGGCTGTGGGTGCAACAAACGCTACTGCATACGGCGGGGATGACATGTGAGTTGCCTTTTGTCAAGTTGGATATTTGAATTAAGTGTCTGTACCGGATGGTAATCTTGCAAATCGTTCTTGTATGTCTAGTCTTTTTCCCGATTCAGGTGACCTGTATACCCGTTCATCCCTGATAGTCCGGCTGGCCTTTCCGAGACCGAGTTTGCCCTAGTTCAAAGACTCTAAATTTTATCTGCATATCGTACCCGTTTTTCCGTACATGTTGCCATGGTGCTCTTGTTTCTTGGTGTGAAGCTGGGCCATAAATCTGAATCCTCATCCCGTTGGCTTTCTCAGGCATCAAATTGGGCAATGAAAAATTCGATGTTTTGCACAGTACTGGATGTACACTTTATTTCACCACACCTGAAAGACTGACCCTGTGCAAGACACACGTCAAGTTGTCCGTTTTGAGAGAATGGACTGTAAAGAGGAGATATTCTATGACATCACCTGATAATTAAAACCTACATTCAACTAAGTTCCTGAGAGCTTCTCAAGGACACAGCGGGTTCCCGTTGTAGGGGGGGGGGGGGGGGTGCACGGCATGTGTAGGATGGCTGGTGCATGGCATTATGGTCATTATTATTACGTTGAAGTTGTTAGGGGTGCACATGCCGTCCCCCACCCCACATCGTGCTCCATGTGAGCTATGCGCCGGCTTCCCATCTTAGCTGTAGCTCTATGAATAGTCGCTCCATGTCGAAACACATTTCTTTTTCTTACCCTTCATTGTTCACTTGCTTGCTTTTCCACAGATGCTGGATAACCGTTTCCGGAGCGTTTTACGGCACTGTTGTAGCACCAATGGGAATGTCACTTCTATACAACACCTGTATCCTCGCTGCAGTTGGCTTCTCGTTACGCAACCGGGAAAAGAAATTGGGCGCAGCGAAGAGTGGCAAGTCCAAGGAGGTATCAATTCTTGCCATAGTCGTCTGCTTGTCTGTTCTCCTGGGCTTGACGTGGATGTTCGGATTCTTTGTTCTCGTTTGGGATGAGATAACTCTCCAGTATATCTTCACCATACTGAGCTCACTTCAGGGATTTGGTATCTTTGTCCATGTAGTCAGGGGAACGGAAACCAAGAAAGGATGGACAGAGAAGTGGACTTCAAGCAGCACGCGCACCACACGTACAAGCACCGGGTCAACGGGATTCGGCAGTAATTTTTTCTCGCTGAAGCGGTTCACCATGGATGATTTGGGCAAGCTGAGCACACTGCCGCACCGAGCTAAGACAGCCAAGTCGAGTGATGTCAACACCCTGCCAGCACAGAACGAGTCTTTGGAAATGGACAACATGGCTATCGAAACTAGCCTTGACACCGACACCCTGTGGGCCTCATCACCAGCCAGTGTTCCCACTTGGAGGTCCCATACCCCATACTCTGATGCCACACAACCGGCGGTTTGGACTGAGAAGCATTCCAACAGCATGATGCAGGAGAGTCGACTTGCTGAAGAAAATGATGCGGAAATGACAGAGGTTTGCCATGTAGGCGATGGTATAGGGCCAAGAAAGTGACACATTTGGCCCAGAACCCCGAGAAGCCATCTTCCTTTTGGCGGCAGCGGTTGTCCAAAAACAAAGGACTGAAGCTGATGTCCAAGCCAAGAAACGGATTAGGAAAAGATGAAATTAATTATCCTAGTTGCCTGATGATCGTAGTAATACGTGAAACTCAGAGTTTCGGCACAGCTTCCAATCTCTCTTTTGTCTCTCTTGTGTGAAAATAAGTATCTCAATTGTAATTATGCAATGAACCACATGTACATGTATGTCCCTTTGGTCTGTGAAATTTATCTAAATCTTGCAGTTTCACTTCTATTTCAATTCATTTGCAGCAGCACCCATTACATAATTTCCCTTATCACGTGGCACATGATTGTTACCCATACTCGGCGAATCAGCACTTTTCCCCCGCCGCGGGCAATAATATGCGATATTGCCTGCAAAAAGATTTACTTGCCCACAAAAAATAGTTTATTTCAGTGATCACGTGACTACGACTCTGCACGACTTGCAGTGCTAGTGTAGCATCGAGGCGAAGACGAACTTTTTTTCGGAGATGTACATGTACTTGTACAATGTACGTCCCCGCACTGGACTTGGCCTCCGACTTCTGCCATGGGGTGTTTGCAGGGATCATTTGTACAGTCATGTTGGCAGCCTGACTGTCGGTTAGCTTGTGGACGGGATTCAGATTTTGCTCTATGTGGTACTGTGATCAAAAACAATTGTTTGAAATAACACAAATTCAGTTCAGCATCTTGCACTCAGTATTACATGTACAAGGTATATTCAGATCCTCACAAAGTGCTTGTGTGTGGTCTTCCTGCGCCACGCGAAACTTTCACCGGGGTCATGTGTCATCTGACTTCAACTTTGCTTGAACAACAAAAACAACAAGTCAGGAATGTTTTGCAATGAAAACACACAGCTATCTGGAGGTGAAAAAAGAAGAAAAATTGTGCTCAGAATTGCACACCAGGAAGTCGTCAAATATTTGCAGTACTGCATTTGACGACTTCCTGGTACACATGTAAACATGAAGAACTTCTTTGTGGTAGAATTCTTAATTTTTCAACTAAAAAGATGATTGGACTTCAATGGAAAGGCAAGGATATATTTATACTGTCCCCGGGGAAAATTGCGATTCTGCGGCCCCGTTTCTTCCGCGTTTTTTGCGATTTTTTAAAAGCCCGCGTTTTCCCCGCGATTTTTGAACTTTTTTGTTGCACTACACGTACACACAGGGCACTGTTCGGTCAGCAACGTCTCATCGTGGCGGCTTTTTACTCTAATATGACGAGTGCTTACACCAGAGACTTTTAACTGATTGATTTCACTACATACTCCCTGAAAATTGCCGCTTATCAATTATTATTCACCGCATATTTACCGCATATTTACCGCAAATTCACCTCAAACTATGCCATATGATGCCGCGTTTTCCCCGCGTTTTTTACGATTTTTTCCCGCAAATTTCCCCGCGGACAGTTTATAGAAAAGAAAAGGATCCCTTGATCCTTAACTACAAGTAAAAGTAACTACAAGTTACGTGGTCAGTGTTGTGCAATGTTATCGCATGAGCCAATTTTATATTAGCTGATGGCGGTGGTAGCTATCTAGATGCATCCAGCCCTCTGAAGCAGATGCTGCCTAAACCAGCCACTCACCGTGCCCCCGAGACAAGACCTACCCGTCAGTCTCTCCAGCTGCAGGATTCCCATCCATACCAGATGACAACTGGCCTGCCTGCCAACACCCGGAATAGCTGTCTCCAAGGATTCCCTGCTTGCACCGTTGCAACATGGAATGCCCTGCCACCAGACCTGTTCCACCACCCACCCGCCCAGCCCCACATGCAAAGCTTTAAGAAAAAGGTGTACCGTCACCTTCTTGCTCAGGACTGGCTCTCTGCTACTGATGCACTTTGAATCTGCTCGCCAACGCTTTCCCTGTTCTTATGAGTGTTCAGCTGCTTACCTTATAACCCTGCTGCCATCATCACCAATATTCTGATTCTCATGCACATATCCCAGAACCTGCTATCCTTCGTAGCCCCCATCACCAAGAGCACTGTGCTCTTCTATCTCCCAGCTCTCTCTCTCTCTCTCTCTCTCTCTCTCTCTCTCTCTCTCGCTCGCTCTCTCGCTCTCTCTCTCTCTCTCGCTCTCTCTCGCTCTCTCTCTCTCTCTCTCTCTCTCTCTCTCTCTCTCTCTCTCTCTCTCTCTCTCTCTCTCTCTCTCTCTCTCTCTCTCTCTCTCTCTCTCTCTCTCTCTCTCTCTCTCTCTCTCTCTCTCTCTCTCTCTCTCTCTCTCTCTCTCTCTCTCTCTCTCTCTCTCTCTCTCTCTCTCTCTCTCTCTCTCTCTCTCTCTCTCTCTCTCTCTCTCTCTCTCTCTCTCTTTCTTCTCTTCTTCTTCCCCCCCCCCCCCTCTCATCTCCCGATAATTATTAGCCCCCGTTTTTTTCGACGCGTTTGCTGTGCAGTGAAGCCGAGACCCTAGGTCGGTGGAGCACATCAGACCCCGTCACCACGTCTACCATTCATGCCTGCGATGCTGCACCGCTGCTTTGCATGTCATGATTGGAAGCTGTGGCCTTAGTAAAAAAAAAAAAGAAAAAAAAAGTTCACATTACATGTACAGCGTAACTTGTAGTTCATTGGTCCTGTTCTTTTCTAAGAAATTATGACTCTGCTTCGTTTTATTGTGGATGTCATGTACATGTGTGTTGCCATGACAATGCCATGCCGGCGTGCTGTGCCGTTTAGTTGCTCATCCATTTCCTCTCAGTCACGAGATTCCATCGACGAAAGTGACAAGAAAACGCTCTTTAGTAAGGTGTTGATAATATTTATACTATTACAAGAAATTCATGATATCTCCGTTCTAGAAATAATGTCTTGAACTTGAAGATCTCAGGTTGTCACTAATGTGTTAGGGCTGCTGGTAGTGCTGGTAGCAAGTGACAGTTAGCACATACATGTACATGTACTGTATGTACATGGACATACAGTACATGTATGCAGCGCAGATCATGGATGTCCCAAGCCTTCCAGTTGTCACCCCCCCCCCCCCCCCTCGCAATAAGTCCTGACATCCTACACCGATCCTTCCCGTTCGGCCTACTCACCACATGGAATGCTCTACCCTCTGCCATCCTGAACGCTCCCCCATCCAAGGCAGCGCTGCAACTCTTCAAAGTAACAGTGTACAAGTACCTCCTCGAGCAAACCTGTGGGACTGCTGTCGACGTGTGCACCACAGACTAGCATACTACCTGATGGCCTAACTCTTTCTTCTTTATTAGTGCAATTAGGAGTATATTAGATGCAGACATGGCCAGACAACAACGAGTTCATGGAATTTTTAAGGATTTTTATGTTATTCAAAATCGATTTTCTTGTTCCACTCATCAGTGAATAGTATCGGAACTGAGGGTACTGTGTACAAAAAATAGAACATTTTATATCAGCATAATTAAAATTCACTGATGAGCGGAACACGAAAATCGATTTTGAATAACATAAAAATCCTTAAAAAATCCAGGAACTCGTTGTTGTCTGGCCATGTCTGCATCTATTATACTCTTAATTGCACTAATAAAATTGCTTTCTCCACGCCGAATCTTTAAATGTCTTTCTTCTTTCTTTCTTTTTAACCCCCCCCCCCTTCCCTGGTGCGCGTTGTGTGCAAGGATACCGAGACCTCTGGTCGGAGGAGTCCACAACGCCCCACCTACACAGCTGCGCTAGTAGATACTAGTAGTCAGCCCCGACTCAATAGTTGTTTGTTCTGTCAAACCCACAACTTCTGTGTTCTAGTCGTTTCTTCGTTCTCCCTGCATGCAACTCTGTTATCTTTCTTGTTCTTATTTTTTTGTCTCGAGCCGGGTTTGTGTTCTTTGGAAAAAGAAAAAAATAGCACCAGATAACGTGAGATTTCTAGTTAGTACATGATGAATATTACCACGTCAAGGGTTTTGCAGAAAACATTGACTTACATAACCAGGTGTGGTGTGAATGTTTGGAGTTTTATAACCATCCTGCACTAGAGTTGATTTCCGCGCCTTCACCTGGTTTTTAACTAATCTCCACTGCCTCCTGCAATTATTTGCGGGTTGCGCTGTCACCGTTACTGCGTCAGGCTTCTCCTTGTGCTTTGCACAGGCCGAAAATCATACCTCAGAGGAGTACAAAAATTACAAATCACACCCAGATGCCCTTGATTGCAGGCCATGCTGGATCTTGCAATCACAGACTTGTAGAGAAGGTGCTGTATCTGACAGTCAGATACAGATGAGCTCGCATGTGGTCACCCATGGCTTATCCGCAGTGCTCCTACGCGCTTCACCGTTGTGATTGAGTTCTTCCAGTCTGGTCTCCAGTGTGCGATCCGTCTCTCCTTGCATTCCAGAACACCTTTCTTCATACACACT